TTATCAGTGATCATCAGGATCAGTTGCAGAGGGTTCGACTGTTTGGCTCCCATGACTCCCATGCGCGTTTCATGCAGGTACCTGGTCATCCACGATTTCCCTTCGTTCGTCGATGCCCAGGCAGGTGTGGGCTTCATAGGCTTTACTTATTCTCGCGAGGTTTGAGTGCAACCTTCAGCCCTCGCCGCCTTTAGAGGAATGACCAGCTGAGCTTGGTGGCAAGACATTAACGCCCATAAATGCCGGTGCTCGGAGGTCTCGGGGGCCTGTTCGGTTTTAGGGTTTCGGGTTTAGGGTTTAGGGTTGGTTCCTTTGTTCCTTTCTGGCGTCACCAAGTCCCAGTTGCAAAAGGGTTTGCACCTGGCAGGCCAAGGTCGATGCCACCTACAAGGACGGCGCTGGATCCGGCTGGGTTCTTTGGGATGTAGTGGGCTTTCTTCGATTGCAGGGGTTGGTTTTCAGGATGTTGGGTTTTTGAGGCAAGTTTTCTCAGAGTGAGCTGGCTCTGGGCTTGATCGCTGTCCGTGCGCGTACGCGTGTCATGCGTCGGGTTGCGGTGATCAACGGTTTTGACATGGCAATAACACGTCGAATCGTTCCACACGGCCTCCTGGTCGTTATGGGTGAAAGTCTATGATTATGCGATTGAGTGGTTGAAGGTGATTAAAGAGGTTGGTATACTTCTTTTTCGGTTCGCAGAACCTCAAGCCCCAGCACAGAGAGGACAAAGCCACGTGGTGCCGCCTCAGCATTCAGGCTGCTTCCTCCATGGCGCACCGTGGCGGAAGGAACAGAGGCATGCCGGTTTTTGAGGATTTTTTTTGCACATGGGGACTTCCTAGAATCGCAGTACCCTCTCTTTTTCCCCAAACATAGTAGAATCCCCTTTAGAAAAGGTAAAAAGGACTCGTATGAGGCCCCTGTTTTCGGAAACCCCCACATGGCCTTTGTGGACATGAGAGATCAAGTTGGAAGGGCAAGAGGTGGGCTTGGAAGGTTGCGGCCTCCCCTTTGGGTTTTGGGTTTAGGGTTTAAGGTTTAGGGTTCAGCCCAGGGGTTAAAAAGGGTTTAGGGTTTAGGGTGCAGTCCCGTATGTCATGACTGATTCGGAATTTTTCACGGCACAACTTCTAGGCATAGTTTGGGGGCCATTGCCTGGATAAAAGCTTAGAACTGGTTTTGGAATCTTGGGGAGAGCAGTAGCGACAGAATGTCGATCGGCCCGCCGGGCCCTGTTCCGAAGCTCCTACTTTTGCTCACTTCTTCCCCGTACTCGTCAGTGACTCGTCAGGCCCTCCAAGGAAGGGACCAAAACCATCCAAAACCCTTTGCCGCCTTTGGGCTTGTAGCAGCTGATGGGCACTCCACGTCAATCACAGCATATCCATCAATGTGCTCATGGTCATTGTCTCCAGCGCCAGGGTCAACTGACACACGGCTAGCCACTAGTTGTGTTGAGCATGATTGAACCCCAATGGAGTATCTCTTTTTCTCAAGTGTACGTGTGCTGTTTACTGAGGAAGTTTTCAACGGATCGAACCATCGCGGAGTATGCCGATGTTTCCTGGCACTGTTGCTGCTCCACGTGGCCTCAAGACTAGAAACATTCAGCTGGGGCGATAGACTTGCGACTGCATATGTGTAAGCTGATGCTGAAACTGGGTAAGTAGGTTTCGCAGCCACGCCCGGGCGCAGTTCCCCGATGTTGCTTGCAACCGTGCTCATGGCTACTTGTCCGTCTTCTGACTCGAAGATTCCAAGACACCGAGATCCAAAACGACCCAGAGCGCACTCAAGCACCTGATGTTGCCAAGTTGAACCCCAAAATCTTGACACGCGAACCAAACAGTAGAGACATGCAACCCTGCTTTGCGGTCCGGCCAGCTATGCGGGCGCGAAGAAAAAACCTAAGAAAGACAAGCCTAAAGCCTAAACCCTAACGTTTCCCTCAAGGTGATCTGGGGCTTGAAGCCGGCTCGACGCGAGCTCCCCGTAGACGTGCCAGCGCCCAAGCCGAAGGCTGAGTGCATCCTCAAGGCGGGTCCTGGCGGGTGGGATTATTGGTATTATTGGTGTTTTTGGTATTCTTGGTGTTTTTGGTATTATTGGTATTATTGGTATTATTTCTTGGTATTTGGTATTCTTGTTATTGTTTTTTTATTACGACCATCATTTGTTATTTTTCATTACGACTATTTCCCTGTTGTTTTTGCTGTTGCTGTTCCTCTTCTTACTGCGATTCTTACTTTTGAGAGGGCGTCCGAGTGCGCGCGCGATTAGCTTGAATCCAAAGTGCTTCATGGATCCTTCCATGTCCTCCGCCATCACGCGTGGACTCATTGCCACTTGAGCCTCCACCTCTAAGTCATGTGCGCGTAGCTGTGGGGTTCGGCACGCTGTAGAAACCAAGCCACAACAATCATATATAGACTACAAAACTAAACCTAACATCTACCAAATGTGGAACAGCTACTGCATCCTTATACTAACAGCCCTGAATAGGGATTATAGTAGGGGGGGTTTCCAGAATCGCAATTAATGCCTTTTAGTATAAGGGGGAACATCTACCAAAGGTGTAACATCTATTTCCTCCATCGAATTACCACCCTAAACCCTAAACCCTAAACCCTAAACCCTAAACCCTAAACCCTAAACCCTAAACCCTAAACCCTAAACCCTAAACCCTAAACCCTAAACCCTAAACCCTAAACCCTAAACCCTTACCCCAGACCTCTTTACGTGCAGGTGGATGCCATCCCGAAGGCCCGCTCCTCGGTCCAGGAGGAACGTGTCCCTGTGATGCTAATTCCTAAACCCCAAACCCCAAACCCCAAACCCCAAACCCTAAACCCTACACCCTACACCCTAAACCCTAAACCCTAAACCCTAAACCCTAAACCCTGAACCCTAAACCCTAAACCCTAAACCCTAAACCCTAAACCCTAAACCCAGCCAAGAGCTGCAGACAGGACATGCCCTCTGACGCGGAGCCGAAGCCACTGAAGGCCAGCGAGGCTGACAGACGTGATGAGATGTGTTTCCCATTGTACTGTTTCTCGTAGCTAGGGTTTAGGGTTGAGGGTTTAGGGTTTAGGGTTTAGGGTACATTGGGACAGTTCCCCCTTATGCTAACAGTCCTTCATAGGGATGATGCTACGGGGTTCCATCATCCCGATGGAGGGCTTTTAGTATAAGGGGGAGACATCCCAATGTACCCTAAACCCTAAACCCTACGGCTCATGAGGAGCCTGTGCAGCCGGCGGAAGGCACAACACCCGATGACAGCGAGGCCCGCTGTTGAAGGGTGTTTAGGGTTTAGGGTTTAGGGTATGGCACGTTGAAGCAGTTGTGGGGCTCATTTTGGCGGAGATGGCAGAAGTCGACATCGTGTCTTGGGGTTTTGGCTTCGCAAGAACAACGACCATTGTCTGGAACATTTGTAAGTAGCTTCCCGACGTGGTCGGGTTGATGTAGGGCCTGTGAAAGAGGCGAAATGAGAACACATTGGTGCCAGGCTTTGGCGGGATAATTCGTATTATTGGTATTATGATTTGTATTATTATGATTATCAGTATTACTCTTATTATTACTACTATTAGCAGAAGTGTTGTGCCCCACAGAAGGGAACCCAGCAGCTTAACCAGACAGGCAATCTGAAACAGATGCTACCAGGACATACCTGAAATACTCTAGTAAAGAACGATGTTCCTTGATATGCCCTAATATACCCTGACAATCCCATATATACCCCAACGCCAGCTTCAACCAATCTTTCCGATGTCTTGGTTGGCCCAGGCAAACACCGCCTAGCCGCCCCTGGAGGCTCCTGGGACTCCTTCGCGTGAGAGCTGCAAGCCCCTAAAGCTCCTTGCCGTCCCCCTCCCACATCCTACGGCTTTTAATCCTTATACCTGTCATCCCGTCCGATGGCACGTGTTTCGCCCGGGCTGCAATGCCCATCAAATTCCGACGGCCGACTGGTATGCCTCAGTGCGGCCCAGCCTCTGTGACAATTTTATTTTTGTTCCCGGAATTGTTTTGAAACAGTTGGGATCTGGCAGCCGCAAGGTTTTGTACTTGGCAGTGCGAATCGACTCATCCACACTTCAAGCTAAACGTTATACTGATTCGAGTTAGAAACCTTGCAGAACGCCGTTCAGATGTTCCACTTTGCCGCCGCGTGGCAAGTCTCGTGACTTTTGATTAGTGGGCCCATTGGCACGAGAGCTTTCTTCGCTTGAGTCATAAAAGTTGTGTGACCCCAGGGGTCTGCACGAGCAACCTATGCAGTATGATGCAGCTTAACTTAACTGTTCCTTCGTTGGTACTTACAAAGCTTCTGTTTCATCAAGCTCCTGTGCTGCATCCCTGTTTTCCCGCCCCATACGTAGAGAACTGACAACGGATGGCGCTCGAGAGTTGCAGCAGGTCGCAGTCAATCAACAAGCTTGGACTCTTCAGTGTTTCTTTTGACAGTTGGGAGCGGTTTGGGTTGCGATGCAGGGCCCCCATGCAACTCTTGATTTCTGCCCCGGGAATTGGCATCCCCTGCTGTTTCCGCGCCGTGCCTGCTGTGTGCCTGGGTTTCGGTGTCTACGACCAGACCACTGTTCAGATTCAGGCCGAAGGGTTGCAGGAAGAATGGCGACACCGCACGCAGATGACGTTTTAGGGTTGAAGACGTAAGACGCGTGCATCATGTGCTATAGCTTCCTGCAGCGAGGCGCCGGGCAGCTCTCTGCTAGAGTTACTAGCTTTAGATTCCGCAAGAGATCGCTGAGATCGCAAGCGCGCCAGATGGCTTTGCTTGCCAAGAATTCTAAGCAGACCCTTGCGGGAAAAGAGTGGCCATGGCTGTCATGCCATTATCTTAGCTCTACAACAGCCCGCCACGCAGACACATCTCTTGGTAGAAAGGCTAGACGAGTCGGCCGAGGCACTTGTGCAGTGAAACCCTCGGGGTTTTGCCAGTCTCTGAAGTTTCTCTGATCTCCTTGGAGGACCCAAAGCATGCACAAGGGCTAGATGTGGGCGGTGGCCGAAGCTTCTTCCCGCACGCCAATGGCCAGTTTGGCAGGCCAGTTGACCAGCTTTGCGCTTGCTCGGCCAAGGATGGGTTTACGGCTAATGGGCAGGTTCCGCACACATCCTGTCTGGGCAAGGTCATCCTGGCAGGATGCGCAGGCGAAGAAGCATGGACACACAGATCACGAAGCGGCCCGCCGGCAGATGGGGTTTTGGGGATGCAGGCAGGTACTCTATCCCACCACCGATATCCCTGTTTTCTGCAACGCGTACGCCGCAGCAGCCCTATTGGTACCGAGCGTTTATGAGACTTGCTACTGTGCCACCTTCAGAAAAGGCTGCGGGCTACTGTAAAGGGCAGCCCCGGGCCTGGCTCTCATGGACGGAAACAAGGAAGATGCTGCAGGCTGCAGGAGGTCTTAAGGGATCAGGAGTCGAGGTTAAAAAGTGTTGCGATGGTGGCATCGTGCTGAGGTGGTGAAGCTGGCAGATGGTTGCGTGGCTGGCAGATTGAGGGGCCCACAGGGTGTGCAGGGCAATTGCCGTGGCTCTGCATGTACACGTTTCAGACATTATGCGTGGCTTTGTGATGCGACGAAGACTGCAGTCTTGTGGCTTCATCTTAGATCGACTAGCGTTGGCTTTCTTCGAAGGTCAGGGATTTGTCATCGATGGCGACAAGGCGCTTGGGTTTCGGGAACGTGGGAGGCACCTGGATTTCGCAAAGGGGCTTCGCCTGGGGCAGAACTTGGCCCTTGGTGGCAGCATCACGCATGTTAGGCACTGTAGAGATGACGAGCGCAATCGAGAAACATGTACCTGCAGAACTTGGCTCCAGCTGATCACTCAAAGTAGCTACAAGCCCGAGCAAGGCCCTTTCCAGAAAGCTCATCAAAGACTGTCAGGCCTACCCGGTCGAGTAGCTTGTGAGCGCATCGCCAGATCCGGCGGCAGCTTAACGTGACCGCAACGCATGTGATTCTGTGTGCTTGGCAATAGCTACAGGTGGGTGGGCACCGTCTGGATGAAGGCGTTAAGCTGCCGTTGAGCTTTCGCCCTTCGACATGCAAAGCTGCCGGTGGGCTAATTGCTGCATTGTACATCGACATAGCACATCGAGGCAAGGCTTCTTTGCGCCCTCCTTGGCAACCTTGGTGCAGAAACCAAACACAAGCTCGGCGATGCCTGTGTAGAGCATCCTAGAATAACATTATATGGTCACTTCTCTAGAATATAGCCCTTTTCTTGCGGTTGCTGCTATAAGGCGGCCCCTAATATCTAGGGTACCCAAAAAGGGACCATGATTTAGGGAACTCGCAATGTATGTACCATGTATATAGATAAAAGCCATGCAAACATGTGTATACATCTACACATATATACATACATACATACATACATATATATATAATATGTATACATTGCACATCATACATAAGTAGTGCCGAACTCCAGAACCCACCAGGGACTGAAGTGAAGCGATTAACAATCAAGGCCGGGCTGCCCGCGATGCCGAGGCCGAGGGCTTCGTGAGTGGAAGTTAGGGTTTAGGGTTTAGGGTTTAGGGGTTCAGATTGAGGGCGCTTCCCAGGGCTTTCAGTCAGTTGAGAGGACAGGTCAAAGATGGGTCGGCTCATGTCGCCGCACGGAGAGCTGGCTTTCCACGAGTTCTTCCACGCCCACTTCGAACCCTTTGAGTGCCCTTGGGCTGGCCATGGCAAAAATCCCATGAGGGATGTGGCACGCGCATTTGGGGTGTAGGTTTTATAACGGAAACAGGCTGGCTTATCTGCAGTGGGGGTCTGACAACAAGCGTCAAGGAGCTTCCTAGCCTGAGCAGACGAGTCCGAATATGAGTCAACCCAGGAGCCCTCACAGCTTCCAACTCCGCAGACTGTTCGGAACCTCAGCATCGGTACATGCCGGTACCATACATGCTGTTTTGAATGACTAGATTGGTATGATATGAGTATATGAGTATATATAGGCATTCATCGTCTCCAGTCTTCATGCAGTCTTCGCCCCAGTAGTATTAGTAGTAGCACTAGCAAGAGTAACAGGAGTAGGAGGAGTAGCAGTATGTACTAGGAGTAGGGCGAGTAGGAGAAGAAGCCCCTGAACCTTCAAGCAATTTCGGCAACCGTGTGCTGCCAAGCAGGCTTGCCATCCTTGTCTCCGACCGAGCACAAGCACATATTGCAAATGCGTGACGCCAAACAATCTTCCTGAACCTGCACAACGCAAGTTGAGTACCATGTTGCTGTACTGCCCGTTTACCGCAGTTCCAGTTTTGCTCAGCGGGTTGCGCTCAGCCGCTGGTGGCACAGGAGCTGTGCAGATAAGATTCGGTGCTTGTCGTTTCTGCTTTCTTCATCTGTTCTCTCGCCGTTTGGTCGCTGATAGCTGGAAGTGAGCGGACTTTTGCACGGGGCAGGGCAGCGCCCTAAACCCTAAACCCTCAACCCGAAACCCCAAACCCGATTCGCAGCAGTGCTCCATGGCCCCTAGGGCATGGCGGCCATCACTGGGGACCAGGTGGCTGTGTATGATCGTTGCAGCCTCAAGTCTCGAGTGAGCAGCAGATATGGGGGGGTTTCCGAAAACAGGGGGTACCGATTTTGGGGGCTCCTTTTAGAAGGATTATATAGTCTTTTGGGGTATACAAGGGGCACCCCTGTTTTCGGAAATCCCCCTATCTCCTCTTGCAAGTCCTGGTGCGCGTCGACGTCGCTCAGGTCAGCTTCGTCTTTGGGGCGTCCAGGCGCAGCAGAGGCTACTGAATGCCAAGGTGCGCCTTACCAACCAAGGGTCAAATGGGGGTTTACGAACATAGGGGACCCCATTATAGATCCCCAAATGGTAAGATCCCCGTACTCAGGACCCCGATAAAGTACTCCCAATTCCGGAAACCCCGAAATGCTGCATGCCTGTCAACAGCTTGTGCAGCTGTGGCAAAGTTTCACGAGGTCCTGATTTGGGGCATGGAGGGCAGCAATGTGGAAGCCTGCAAGAACTTGGTGCTGGCAGGCGCGCTACACTTACATGAACCTACTTGGAGGTTCATGGGTAGTAACAGGTAGGGTTATAGGCATGACAATTCTATCTAAAACCCCACTGAGGTACTTATAACCCGACTTATAACTACCGATGAACCTCCAAGTAGCCTGCTCAACATGTAACTCAGATGAGAATGAAGAATGTCAGCCAGCTGATGTTGTTTGTGGCGCTTATGGTGTTGTGGAAGGTGTATCGCTGACATTGCGGGATCACAGAACAGTGACTGCGGCAGATGTAGGCAGCGACCTGAGAGAGCTGCGCCTTCTGTTCCCTCATAATGTTTACAGCCCTTGCACTTGTATGACTTATGAAATGACGGCCAAACCTCTCTTGGCCTGCCCAATCGAAAATAACTAGTCTTCTGGTGACTTTCTTGGCCTCGCTTGGGAGATTCGGATCCTGTCAACAGAGGAATCAAAGCAGGATCTTCGTAATCCTTGATGGCAGCGGAAGTATGTAGGAGTTAAAGGTTCAGGGATTACAAGTTTCAAGCTGCCAGACTGCTGCTGCTGCTGCTGCTGCTACTACGAATGCTTTGGCTGCTGTTCTCAAGCGAAATGCCTTTGCGCCATTCGCAAAACAGGCACAGTTTCATCAGGTTTCCCTGCAGTTGGAACTGGTTGCAAAGGGTTGCAAAAGAACAGGTTGTCAGAGACTCCATGTGACTGGGGCGTTTAGGCTCTTGGAATCCGGATGTGCCATGGACTTGAAAGGACAGTTGGGAGTTGCAAGTCATCAGCTCATCACTAAGGCAGGGAACTAGAAGTAAGTAGGACACTTGATCTACAAAGCCCCGGCATTTGAAGTCCTAAACCCTAAACCGTAAACCGTGAACCCTAAACCCTAAACCCTGAATCCTTGCCTGCCCTGTGCGAGTGTGAGGGCCGAAATCCAGCGCTCAGGATTCAACTACTTCCTGCGGCCGGAGGACCTGAACCAGTCCAGGGCCACTTGCGCCTCCAAGAGGGCGCCTGGATGCTACAGCCGAGAAGATGTTTGCCTCGTATTAACATGCCTATGTACGTAGGTACGTATGTAGGTATGTATGTATGTATTTATGCATGTATTTTTATACACACATATCTCTCTGTATATGTACGTACAGAATCTAGTATGAGGATTCCGTCATAGCTCCGCGGCTTTCAAGCTAGTCGCTGAAACAGCGATGGGCCCTTGAGGGTTTTTGCGTTCTGCTTCGTCTCGTTGCACTTCCTTCAACGGCCGTCAAGGGTGTCCATCATAGCCTGGGGCACCAACTCCGAATAAGAATGCGAGCGCCCCAGGTGCAGGAGATGAACCCGTGCTTCGGACTGCACAAGAGACTTTCGACCTTGTTCTTCAGCAGGTCTCCAAACATTACGCTTGGCGAGACAGACTCTGTAGTATTGGCAGCTGCTTTAGCACAGATTGCACAGATTAGGTTTGCGCCGTCGATGTGTTATGGTTCAGGGCTTTGCCTATGTAGCAGCGTAGCAGTGGCGTCGAGGCACTCCTCTTGCGACTGCTTGTCAGGCTCTGCACTGTGGCTTGCAACAGTGATCGGGCGGAAACAGGCAGCGACGAAGACAAACTCAAGGCCGACTGCCAGACCTGCCCAATGAAAGCACAGTTGGCAGAGTTGAATAGTTCCACATCTGAGCCCCATAGTCTCTGCCGCAGGAACTTGTGAAGGGCTTCGACATTGTCATCGTTGGCTTGAGCGTGCTGGGCTATGACTTCGAGCTTGCATCCAGCGTGGATGCCGCATGCAGAAGCTTAGGCCTTGCAAAGCGCGTCTAGGGTTTCGGTTTTTTTTGTTTTTTTGGGTTTAGGGTTTTTGTTTTTGTTTTTTAGTTTTTTTGGGTTTCGGGTGTAGACAGGGTCGTTCTAGTGTAGTTCTACTGGGGTCGGCAACTCTGGCTCCAAGTGGCTTCATCAAATCGCTGACGCTTATAAAGTTGCGCAGTTTGCATTCACACACCATGCGAGGCTTTGAACTAGGGCCTGTCAAGGGTAGACGAGCAGAGGCTGCGCGCCCTCTACTATCTGTGCATGTAAGCTGAATGGGAGCTGGGGTCAGGTGCGTCCCATGCTTTGCTGTGTGCTCGCTCATAGTCGTGCCTTGGGAGGCACAGGCTTCATCCTCACTGTTGCAGCGGGCGAGATGGCCTTTTTCTTTTCAGATCAGAACGAGCACGTCATGCAGGCGTCCACCTGTAAGCCGGTAGGCCGCCTGAAGGAACATCCGAGTTGTTCTCTGCCAGGAGCAGATTTTTGTGTGCCCCAGTGCCGGTGTGCGCGCACACATTTCAGTGCCTTCTCAGCAAGCGCGGCCAGGAGCGGAGCTCTGTTCAAGGTGCAGAGTCCTCAGGACGACGTGGCACGAACATGTGTGATCAATCTAGTCCTTGTTCGTGCAATTTCACTCGGCCCGTAACAGGAACAGTTGCCATATGTTGTAGACTGGATGCATGAATGAACGCAGACCGCATGTAAGTTCGGCAAGTCTGCGGCGTCGAATGTTGTCTTCGGAGGACCGCAGGACCCAGAGACCTTCAGTTTCCCTCCCTTCAGCAGCTTGGTCTAAGACCCTCAGGTTGCCTTCCACATGTCAACAAAGTTCTGTGAAGAGTTCGTTGAGTTTCTGGCACTTCGTATTTTCGGCTAGCATGCTGTTGTTCATTGTTCATGATGGAGTCAGCGGCCAGTGCCTGGCAAGGTCATTTCTTGAGCGGTGTTCCACGATTGCTACACGGGCCGCTTGGTGTACACCTGAAAGTCTTGTTGGAGGATGGTTGCTAGATGCCGCTGGAGTCTAACTTTTTTATTTCAGAAGGTGTATTTCATTGTTTTTCGGGATTTCAGGGGTTTAATGGTCTCGTGTTTTAGGTTTTCGGGGCAAAAGGGCATTTAAGGGTTTACCCGAAACACCAAGCAACTCACAACTCACAACTAGTGGGGACTCCAGAGGTACTCTGTGCGCTGCGGTGTGGGGGTATCTGGGGGTGCAACGATTCTTGATGGGTTCTCAATGGGCGCTCCATGTAGTCACGATGCCGGGCGCTCCAGACTCTGCCCTGAGCTTTCCTAAGCCGGAAATCGTCCACAGGGAGACCCAGAGCCGAAACACCGTATGGCATAACTAGATGCTACTTCTCAGATCCCTGGAACCCCTGCACAAGCTTTCGTCCCAGTCCGTCATCCCCACGTGAGGAATGCAAGGTGCAGTACAGGTGTTGCAGTTGCTAAGCGCTAGTCAGAAGGTCATCACGAGAGGCCATGGCACGTGTGCCACACGCTCTTGCTTCTCTTGGCATGATGAAGGAAGACCGACGCCTCTTTCAAGCTCATTGGCCTGCTTGCGTCGTTCCTCCGGAGTGGAGGCCGCACTCCCTTATTCTACTATTTGCTTAAGAACCCCAAAAGGGTATAAGATGATGATCCGTATATTACCCTTCATAAGGAAGTTTTTTCGGGGTTCTTAAGCAACTAGTAGTATTGAAGATGAGTTTCACATGCTTCTGGATGCCGTTTCGCTCCTGCGATTGGAGGCAAAGCAACGCCAAGCGCGGCATCTGACTTCGAGGCTTATTGCCGAGACACTGCCACTTGGAATTCATCCCGAAGCTCCAACCCTAAACACTAAACCCCAAAAAGCAAACACCTAAACCCTAATCCCTACTCAAAGCGTGGCAAGGCCCGAGACAGCTGAGTCCTGATTGGGACTCAATTTCCCTACTGTGTTCGATCACATTGGCCCCTAGGCGGATGTGTAAACTTCTCGCTCTTGCCTTGCGCCGGCCTGGTCTTCGTAAGGTGAAGTGTGAGCCGTCTGTTGATGGCAAGGCTGGCATGAAGGAGGCAAGACACGGGTGTGGGTGCCCACAACACGCAGTGAACTGAGCCTTCGAATCCTCGAGTCGAATTCACGTGTGTTCAATGAGTCTCCCAAAAACCAGCCCCGAAAATCTGTAGTTGCTCACGCCGAGCACGTCAAAGCCGCGGGGTAACTGGTCAACTCGAACCTCTCCGACCGGAGTGGAAGAGGGTCGGCTCTAGGACAAAGAGGATAAAAGCGGAGGATGGCATTGGCTGTATACGTACTATCTTGTTCCTGATCCCTTAAATAGGAAGTCCCCGGCAGGTTCTTTGGAGGCACAGAGTCACACAGCCACAGAGAGCCCTGTGAGGCCTTCGGCCACTTCTTTGTGGAGCCGCTCATCCACGTCGCCTCGGTACTGGGAGGGCTGCTGTCTCAGGAGGTCATCAAGGCCCGACTCGGATCGGCACCAAAGGGTCCTCCTACGTCCTCCTTGCAAATGCTACATGTGATCTCCGTAAGGCTCCGACTGGTCAACTTGTGCGCAGCAGACCCGCATGAATGTTAGGCAAGAAGACCGGAATGACATGAAGTGACGAAAGGCTATAATTCGCACTCGCACTTTCAGATTCGGAGACAAAAAAAGAGTGCAGGGCCGGGCCGGACCCCATGTCTCGATCCTCGAGCCGAAAGGGTCCCAAGCCCCCGAGCCCCCCCATCTAAACCAACATGCCAAGTAAGCACGAAATCTCTCCAACGGTCAAAGCATTGGGGTTGCACTCTTCTTTTAAGGGGGTGGTGCGGCGGCTATGAGAGACTACCGTGTTCTTGAGCTGGAATTCATGGTGTTTGGCTGTTGTGGTCTGGTATCCCCGTCAGGCCATAACGCGAAAAGACCCTCCTCTCGCCACGGTCTCAGACTCTCCCGCACAAGGGTGCTAGAACCCTAAACCTCAACCCTAAACCCTAAACCCTAATTATACCCTATACCCTAAACCGCCTAAACCCTAAACCCTAGACCGTTTTTGGAGCAAGCTGCGGCTGCGGCACCTCGGGTTAGTATAGTTGCTGTAGCGTGGGTGACGGACTCGGTCAACACCACCGTACAGCTGTGTGGGTACAGACTGGGATGTTCCTCCTTATACTAGCCGTCCTTAAGAGGGATGATAATAGGGGGAGGGGGGGGGGGGATTATAATTCCTATTAAGGACTGTGAGTATGAAGGGGGAACATCTCAAGGTGCAGGTGGGTCTAATAACTCCGCAGAGTGCCTGTTGGAGGATCTTCTTCCTGAGCAGCGCGTCCTGGGGTGCCTTTCGTGCAGTCAAGTACTATAATTCCATCAACCCTAAACCCTAAACCCTAAATCTCGAATCATATGGAGGGTCGGGTCTTTATCAGCCACGTGGAACTCAAGGTGAACAGTGTCTGCTTCAACGCCTACACCGGTGCAGCTCTTGTGGAGCTCTTGCCGGAGGCCGACTGCGCGATAGACGGGTTGCTTCGGGTTGTTCGGACCAACCGCTTGCAGCAACAAGCATAGTTTCCGTGGAAGCAAGCAGGAACATCAGCAGCCTTTGTGAGCCTTTGTGCCGGATATGCAGCCCTCACTTCCGAAGATGGCCTTTAAACCAAGCAACAGCAACTCAGCCTCTGTCACCCAGGGCCACACAGGCAGTGCTTTGCACCCCCCCCCACTCTGCGTGCGTGTGCGCAGCGCGTTTAGTTGCAGGTTTGTTGTTTTCAAGCTAAGTTCAGCCCTCTTGCAAGAGAGGCCTAGGAACCCTCAGACCGCCCAGGGTTTAGGGTTTAGGGTTTAGGGTTTAGGGTTTAGGGCGTCCAGGCACCTCCCGCGCCGAAGAAGCGAAAATCCGTGGAGGATCTGCACATTTCTGGCACATGGGGTTTTCCCAAATTAGGGGTACCTTATCGGGCTCTGCATTTTCTAAGGGAATCCTACTTTTTTGGAATCTAAACTGGGGTTCGTAAACTTCCAAATCTGTTGAAGTCACTTCGCCTTACCCAATGCAGCTTAGGGTTTAGGGTTTAGGGTTTAGGGTCTTCGTCGCACAGGAGGTCGCCGACTTGTTGGACGACTGAGGCATAAGACGTCGATATGCGAAGCGCGCCAGACAAAGATCCGCTCTACGCCTCCTTGTGCAAGCAGTGAAGGGGGTTTAGGGTTTAGGGTTTAGGGTGTAGGAACTGTATCACCTTAGGCCCTAACTATAAACTCTGAATCGCAGAGACGGCACCCAGAAACCTTGAAATGAGCGTTTGACTTACTTTGGGATAGGTGTGTCTTGCCTTCTCTTGTCAATAGCGGGTGAGGCATGATGGAAACTACAGGGTTTTTGGTAGGTGGGTGCTTCGACTTCGTCATGTCTGCACAGTGACCTCACGAAAGAAGCTGCCCCAACCTTGAAGCAGTTCTCCCTTTCTCCAGTTTAGCGAACTGTATGGCATGATACCGAAGAATTATTTGCGGTGCTTTACTGTAACTTTAGATCCTTAGCCTTTTTGGGCTTATTGGGTTTCTTAATAAGGCAGCGAAAAGTTTAATTCATAACTACCCTCCTGAGTGCAGCCAAGAATTCTTAGCAGCCTTGCGTGGAGCGAGGCTCGCACGCCTCGCAGGGAGAACCCTGATTCGCCAGTCGAATTCCCAGCCTTTGTCCAGACACCAGCAGTTTGAGCCAAACATGCGTGCAATGTTTCCACTCGGTCACGACGAATCTATAGATGAGACAGAGGCTCTCTTTCTTTCTCTTACTCATGCTCAGAATTGTCGATCGCTCTTTCTCTCTCTCTCTCTCTCTCTCCCCCCTCCCTCTCTCTATGTATGAGAATAGAAGCGGTTGCAGACAAGCCAGCAAGTGTGAAGATGCATATGCATGTGAGGGATGCTGGTTCTTCTGTTGGCGCGTTTGAGGCGGCGCCGTCTCTTGGCGGCGGAAAGCACGGCCTAGAGCCCAGCCACCACCGCTGATTCTCTAGGGTACATTTTTTTTGGGGTTTGGGTGGGCAGTCGATGGCTTTTATCCGAGTGGAGATGTCACTTAGTAGCTGAGTAGATAGCCTTTAACCTTTTGGGGTATGTAGAATCAAGAAATTGCCCAGGGTACTCAGCAGCTGGGGTCAAAATGATAACCTGGTGACTTGGTGGTCCCTGTGACCTTGACATCCTTTCGCGTTCTGGAAGACGTGCTCAAGGTTGAGTGAAGGAGGCGGCATTCACCAAAGCATACCGAAGCTTTCTGTGCGCTTGCCGAATATCACACAGGTTTCTTCGTGACGGTAAACATTCTGGCGAGCATGCGGGATAGAGTCTGGTTGCAGCCATCCCTCCCACTTCCCACATGCTTGCGTTGGCTCAAGCATGTCAATGCACATGCCCATATGCGTCTTCCATCTTAGAGCAGCTCTTGAGCAACCGCGAAGGTTTGTAGCTGTCCTCCCTCACCGACATGTCGTCCCCACGAGGCAAAGCAAAGGCTAAGGCCAGGGAGTTGGACGAAGCCTCCGCTGGTGACCTTGAGCAATTGACGCAGGCCTTTAAACGGATTGATTTGCGAGGCAGTGGGGAGGTCCGACTAGAGGAGTTGCTGTCGGTTGCCAAGGACTTGGGCATCCGATGTAGCAAGAACACCCTGAAGAAAGTCTTTCGGGAGGTTGATCCAGATGGACGAGGACTGATCAATTTCGATCAGTTCAGAATTATGTATTCGATGCTCAGCACGCCAGAGAAGGTCAAAGAGCTACTTTCAGAGGCGAGTGCTGCTTTCATAGACTACAGGAACAGTGTGGAACAGGACCCATCCTTTGCAAAGCATTTCCCTATGCCACAAAGCCTGGCCCCAGTCCTGCGGTATGGCAATCATTTCCATGCCACTGTGGAGACACTTCGATGGGTTGCAGATGGCCAGTTTCTGGCGGCCACTTCGGAAGGGAAACTGCTGATCTTTGATAGCAACGCCCGTGCCGATGGGCCATTGAAACAGTGCAATGTTGGCAGCCCTCTGTACTGCGCCGACGCCTTCCCTGGTGGCCCAGGAATCCTCGTAGGGCTCGGCAAGAGATCGGACAACTGTTATCTTTGGGACATGGGTGAGGAGCAAGTCAGGCAGCAGTTTGCTCAACAGGGTCCCATCGTGGCTTGCTGCCTTGGACAAGAAGTTGCATTTGTGGGATCCAGCGATGGTTCGATAGGCATGCACGATCTAGAGACTGGGGCCTGTGTCGCTACTTGGCCGCTCCATGAAAGCCATGTGACATCTATCAAGATCGCCGATGATGGGCAGAGAGTGTGCACCACCTCGCGAGATGGGCGGGTTGTGATTTTCGATCAGAACACATCGAGCATGGCGTCATGTGTGACGGCAGAAATTCCTGATGCGGCCGCCGGGTACACTGTGTGCGATGCCGCCTGGTGTAGTGAGAGCGAGCTCCTAACAGCTGGCGATGACTACTGCATCAAGCGCTGGGACATTCGAAGGCCGAATGACTTGCCCCTGGCCAGATACATGGGTCACACTTCCTGTGTGAGGAGCTTGGCGCTGTCTCCTGATCGGCAGGTTTTCGCATCGGGCACGAACGACAGCAGTGTGCGCTTGTGGGCCCTCAACCCTGCGGACACAAGGGCGTCCTTGACAGCCGATGGCGGCAAGGCCACCGACCTCCTGACCGATCTGAAAGCACGCCGTGACATGGTCATTGAGCTCGTGCACGCGGGCGAAGGCGATGTCGACGAAGTCCGTGAGCTGACTCATGAGATTGAGCACCTGGAGGCAACAATGGGCAAAAACCAGTTCCAAGGTGACGAGGAGATCATCGATGTTCATGGAAACATCCGTGCCGTCCTTGGTCTACCTGGTCACACCCTGGCTGTGGGTACACTGGCTTGGCAAAGTGCTGGGAATGGGGAGCACCGCCTGGTCTCTGGAGCTCAAGACGAGTTCGTGCATCTCTTTGAGTTTTCGAACAGCCAAGTGGTGTCAGGCCTAGCAGACATGACTCGCCAATGTTCATCTTTCTGAGTAAGCTTAGCGACAGAGGAACTTGAGCAGAATCTTGGTTCGCCCAGCTTGCTCATGGTGCCACCTTGCCAGTTTTGGCTGCACAACGCAGCCGGTGGCATGGTGTTTTATAGAATCCACGAATGCAATAGGTACACGCCCGGCTGTTCAGCTACTGAGCCAGCTACTGTAGTGTAATTCGTCTACTGTACCATACCTGTGAATTGTTAATTCCTTTTGAGAGTTCTGGCCTATGGAGCCACGCTTGTCAAACCTTGACAAGAAACAGCAGCTTACAGCAAAGGCCAGCTTATTTTTGCGCAACCGAATAGACAGACCTGTCTTGCAGGCTCTCTTGAGTAGATGGCATATGGTTGCAGATCATTTGAGGGGTGTATTTAGTCAGAGTACTTGGAGGTTCATGGGTTGTTTTTCAGTAGGGTCATAGCTAACCACATGGGGTTACCATACTTATAACCCTACCCAAAAGCTACCCATGAACCTCCAAGTAGGTCTGAAAAAGCCATCTTGCGAACCACGGGCCAAGTCCATCCATGAGGTCTCCGAGGCGACAGTGAGACTCGACCTCCCTCGATTGCGGCGCTCCTACAGCAGCGGCTCTCTTTGTAGAAGCTCGTGGGTGGTGCTACGGGTGATGTGAGTTGTAAGTTCCCAAGAAATGGGTGTACGTACATACATATCATGTGCACCTGACCGGCCACGAGATGTCCATCTCGCTGTATCTGCTTATGCCGTCACCACCAAGGGCGAGGACCGCGTGCGAACAGATCGTGGGGCCGGTACAAGAGGCGGGGGACCCTGCCCCAGATCAGAGGAAGATCTTACCCACATGCCCCCCCCCCCCCCCCCGTGCAAAAAGCTGCAAGCTCATGCGAAACGTGTCCTGACAGGCAATTTCGCGCAGACCGTGCGTGCAGACAGGCAGGGCTTGAATGAAAGGGAGTGATACTACATTCCTCTGCAAGAGCCGACACTGGCCTTCTCTGTGCTGACAGCAAGCGACAGCTCCTTACGATAAGAAGTTTTCTGTTGGTTTTCCTGCAGCTCCCAGAATTCGAACCCTCAGAAGTCTCAGAAAGGCGCAAGAAGGATTCAATCTTGATCCAGCATCCTGGACGCGAAAGCTGCTTTTCATCATAGAATCGAAAGTTCCGTTGCGGTGGGACACAGAGACCTCGTTAGCCCTTGGAAGAACTCAATACATCGCAGTGTATTTTACTTTCAGGTCGAACTTCGGAAAGTTATCCCATGCAAGATTCACTGTGCAAAGCGGAACCCGAAATTGCAAGAATACTATGGCTTCAATTTCAGTATTTTGCTTCGTCCCTTTGCTGGCCACGTCTCCAAGGACTTCGTAAAGCCATTGCAGGCCTAAAGTTCATCCATCGAGAGTTCGAAGAGCTTTGAGAGCCTTTTTGAGGGTGGAGGGGCTACAGGATGTGAGAGAGAACCCTAAACCCTAAACGCTAAAGATGGCGAAGGCGATTCATGGACGCGCCTGTCGAGGATGGCTTCCGCAGTGGCGTTGGCCTCAGTGTCGTTGTCAGCACTTGGTGCACATCTGCTCAGAGAGCCCAATACCCCTTAATTAAGGAATATACCTTAAATCATACTCAGGATCCCTTTATAATTTACGGTGTATTCCTTATTTTAAGGATTGGGCTCTTTGGGTGGTCCTGTGCCGCTGCATGCTCTTGCGCCCATGTCGCCGTTGCAAGCATGCTCAAAAAACAGGCCCTTTTAGTTAGGGCAACAACAGCTCAAAAAACAGGCCCTTTGAGTTAGGGCAACAGCGGCTTGAAAGAGTGCTCGACATTGGCTGCCCTTAGTTTTAACACTCAGGTGGCGCATCACGAGCTTCGAGCCCAGGTTTGTGCACGCTGCTGCTTGAGAATGTCCCGTAAGGCGTCAATGACTGAGTCTCGCAAGCACCAGGGAAAGACAGCAGGGAGAGATGCAGAGGGTAATTACCAGAGATAGGTGCCGGGGCCGCAGCCGTAGCCGAATACAGCGAGTTAAAAACGAACTGTGGTTCCCCCGCCGCGGGGTTCCGCCCATTTCCCTCCAGAGCGACAAAGACCCTGCACTTTATGTGGGCTGCGGGCTCATGTCACATTGGGAGCGGCAAGGAACAGCCCTGCCAAACGTATGACGGATTTCAGGCAGTTCCTGATACCTGAACCCCAACAGCAAAGTTCAGCATCCCTGTCACTGACAAGTAGAATGGAGTCCTTTAATCCCCTCCCCCTAACATGAAACCCCTGCCCCCTAATAATAAAGACACCCCGAAATATACTATAAGATAACTATAATCGGGGTATTGGAAAACTCGGGTGTAGGGGGTGGGTTTAATATTCGGGGGGTAGGGGGGATTCCTTTAACATTCCCCCCCCCCCCCCCTCCCCCTCCACGCCCCCCCACCCCCCCCCCCCCCCCAAAAGAAAAAAACCCAATATACTTTAAGAACATAGCTCTAATAGGGGTATTGTAGGGCCGGGGGGGTTGAATATTCGGGGGGTAGGGGGGGGTTTAGGGTTTAGGGTTTAGGGTTTAGGGTTTAGGGATTCAGTGGCTGCTGCTGAGGTTCGTGGTCCCACGGAAGCCAGAGCCGCCCGAGATCGTTGCTTGGCTCAGGGCCAGGACATCGTGTGTTGCAGAGGGGGCCCTAAACCCTAAACCCTAAACCCTAAACCCTAAACTCCTCCTTAAAGTCGAGCCTCCTTTGGGTAAACTCGCATCGCCGCTGCTGAGTGACATTGGGGAACATGTTTCACATCACATATGTGGGCTCTCACGTTTTTCGAGGTTCAGGGAAGGCACGTAACTGATGGGCCGTTGGGTCGCGTGACAATGGGGGTGTAAGGTTTAGGGTTTATAGGGCTTAGGGTTTAGGGATTGGGGTTTAGGGGGTTTGGTGGGCAGTCGATTGCCCGGCGCTTCGGCTTCGGGCTTCGGGCTGTGGTTTAGGGTTCCGGGTCCGCACCTCGTGTGGATCTCACGCGAACTTGCATGGGCCTTGCGCAAGCGTCCACTGCAGACAAGCACTTTAGACCGGGTTGGTACTGTGTTTCAGACGTCAGCTTATTGGCAAGACAAAAGCATACGCGCCAAGCACGCGTCGATGCATTGTCATGGGTTCCGTATGTCAGGCCCCCCCCGATCCCTGAAATGCAGCGTGCCTTTGCGGAATCACACATTGATCGCCACGTAGCGTTTCTGGACTCCTGATGAACCGTCCCCTCTGACAGACTCTTCGTTCTCGACCCCATCCCTTCCGGATGTCCGGCCACCATGTTTAGGGTTTAGGGCTTCACGGTCATCGCCACCACTGGTGTTGAAGACATCCACCCTCAACCCGAAACCCTTTGTGGCAGAAAAACGCCCATAGCTTTAAACCCTAAATCCTAAACCCTAAACCCTAAACACCCTACATTCGGGAAAGGCCCGTCAACCTCTACATCCAGCCCCCGGAGTGCCACCGCGAATGACGACGAGCTTCCTCGGGGAGCCCGTGCACTCAGGAAGCTGAATTTAGGGTTCATACTGTGGTTTAGGGTTTTAGGGTTTAGGGTTTAGGGTTTAGGGTGTGGGTGGACGAAATCTTGCACCGCTTATTGGACCATGCACATGGCCAAAACCCCGCGCCCCTTTTTAACGTTGGCTTTGGAGAGGCTTCGGCGCTGACTTGTTCCAATGGCCAAAATCTTGCACCACCTGGAAAGCCACGCCTACCAACGTTAAAAAGGGGGTGCGGGGTTTTGCGGTGTGAGTGCCAAGAGGTGTTGCTTGTAAGATGGTGCAAGATTTCGTCCATCCACCGTAGGGTTTAGGGTTCAGGGTTTAGGGTTCATCAAAATCATGGTCCCGATTTGGATCCCGATTATAATACTTGTACGGCACCAGATATTTAGGGTACCCCAAAAAGGATCACAATTTTGACAACCACCCGTATAGTGGGTTCATATAGGGTTTAGACAAGGTTGATATAGGGTTTATCTAGGGTTGATATAGGGTTAATGTATTGGGCTGATCTAGAGTTGATAAAGGGATGGTTCTGGGTTTGTATAGGGAGAAGATAGGGTTTATTTAGGGATTCGGAGAAGTAGCTGTTCATGACTGTGAGGGCGACGATTCTGATAGAAAAGATTAGCGTGACTCATGGCTTCAGATACCAGGCGCAGGCCACGATCCAGATTTTCAGCGTCACGGCCACCGCTACTTTGCCCTTTTCCAACCTGTGCAAGTTGAATGAAGCTTCTAGTTTTACCCATTCAACCCAGACACAAATTAAATCCGAGGTCCTGATTGCATCTCAAAAAGTAGCCGGAGCAAGTGAAGTGGTACCACACTCGATGATTTTTGCGCACCCAGGCGCGTAGCGCTGACTTCAGGCCTCGGGTTCAGGGGCTTGAGGGGGCCTTGCCACACACACAGCTTCAGTCTTGTTGCGGGCAGCATCATGCAGCCACTGTGACTCATGTGACTCAAGTGTCACAGTCGATCTAGTGGCTGAGCGATGAACAAACTCGTCACTTGTAGCATTTGCGGTTTCTCGCGAGGACGCTGCAGAGCATGATCGCACAGGGCATTGTCGAGTCCTGGGTCTCAGGCAAAGGGTTGCTAAGACTCGGCCACTACTCAGCTCCTATACCGGGCTTTGTCAGGATACTGCATGGTAACCCCTATCTTGCCAAAGACAGCAGGCCAGCAAGAACATGAGTATATGGAAAGCTTTGTAGATGCTGCGAGTACGCGCTGCTGTGGCTGAGTGAGGTGCAGCAGTCACTGCGGAACTTCAGTTCCTTCATGCATGTTCCCACAGCTTGCTGCATGCTGTGTTCAAGGACTGCAAAAGTATAAGGGGCTGCAGACTGTACTTGCCCACCCTGCAACATTTCGGTTCTATCGGACTAGCAGATGAGTTTTGCTAACTACCTCCACGTGGCTGCCACGCTTGCGGAGGCTGATGCTGCCTTGATACGTCCTCTGTTTAGGGGAACTAGCCCTAAACCCTAAACCCTAAGCCCTGTTTAGGGGAGCTAACCCTAAACCCTAAACCCTAAACCCTAAACCCTAAACCCTAAACCCTAAACCCTAACTTGCAGCTAAGGGAAGTGGGCCTTGCCAACCCCAAAGTTGGAACAAACTTCGATGAAGGGTTTCTGGAGGGAGACCAGGCATGTTGGCCCTTAAGTGGCTTTCTTGCCCTTGTTCTGCCCTTCTTTGCCCCTGTCAGTGAAGTCACCCTAAACCCTAAACCCTAAACCCTAAACCCTAAACCCCAAAACCCTAAACCCTAAACCCTCACATCACATCCTTCCCTCAGGCCTGCGGAGCCCATGTTCTTGTTTGGGAGCAACGGCTCGTCAGGGCGCCCGGCTCAGATTAAACGCGAGAATCGGGGCCGAGTCGCATGCTCAAGCTCCGGCAATTGTCCCCAAGTAATCGCCCACAAGGGGCTAAATCCGGTTTTTGGAACAGTCAACGCCAACTTTTCCTTCCATTCCACCGATGTCGCCCAGAAAATGATGTGAAGGAAGTAGGGGCTCGTCCTTTTGCAAGCTGAGAATACCAGCATAGCCATGCCCCACAGCTCCCATTGGCTGCCAAGGCAAAGTGACAGTGGCGCTGTGGGGGACCGCAGCCGTCCAGGGAATTTTGCTGGCCTTCAATTCAATCTCCGGGGCCTGGGAGATTTGGGGAGACAGGGTTTAGCAAAAAGGGTTTAGGGTTTAGGGGTACCCTTTTAACTTTTTGGGGGTCCCTTTGTATGGGGATTCTTTTTAACCCAAATCCAGCGAAGGTTCCGTACGCAATACCAACCTCAACCGTAAAAGCTACACCTCTCAGTAAGAACTAGCTAAATGCTAGAGGCAGTGCGTACAAGTTAGTGCATTTTGTTATCCAGGAAAGCTCCCAAAGGGGTTGTAGCTATTCAGGGTGCACATGCCCACACACACCCCTTTTCCAGAATCACGGGTTGCGTACTCCTATCCATTCAGAAAACCGGACATGCAAAAAAGTTTCTAACGGTGTCCGTTCTTCGCAACATATAGCCACCAGACACATAGAAGAACACTGAGAGGCTTTTGGGAAGAATTGAGAATGAATATGAAGATTACTGGGTTCAAGCACGGCCCCGGAAGCAAATGAATAGATATTTGCTCACTTGTATATAGCAGTTGACAATTGTCATCCCCACCACCCACTCTTCCCTTGAATGCTTAGCAAGGCCACTGTTTCCGTGGATGTATTAAAAGATCAATGACAGGAGGTAGTCTGTACGTGCGTGCGTGAGCTGGGTAGGGGGCTCACAAGCTGATACATTCTCTCGAATGTCCAGGAGGAAGAGAGAATATTTGTATTAGCAAACAAGACGTTTTAACAAAAAAACTGTTGGCCCTGGGCAAACCGCAAGTACCCGAATTGAGAGGCACTCATGCTCGCAAGAGTAACTGCAATAGTGGCAACAATGGCAATGGCAATGGTAATCGTAGTAACGAGTAGCAGTGGTCAGTTCTCGAAGTAGGGTTTTTGTTGGGCTACCCTAACTATCTAGGGTCGCCTTATAATAGTAAAGTAACCCCGAAAGGGACCATATCTTACAGAAGTAACCAAATCGTAGCAGCAGTCACCCTCAAACCTTTAAACACAATGTCCGGGAGATTCTCCGGGGAGGTTTTGGAGTTTCGGATTGATGTAGCCATGTGTACCTAGAAAAGCAGACTTTTGTCGAACACAGTTGAGAAAAACGCAATCTGTGACCTATCTGAGTTAGTGTGGGTTCCAGACCAAATATTTCAGCCAGCCACCTTTCCAGAATCTGAAAGAATTCCAAAATCTTTTACAGTTCCACAAAGGACGGGGCCATGTTCATTCAGGTGTTCCGGAATTCCAAATCTTCAAAAAGCCACACGCTCCCGGGACCACGCCCCCATGATTTTTAGAAATTTGGAATTGGGACATGGCCCTGTCCAATTTGGATTCTTGGGAGTTTTTAGGAACAGGGAAATGGTCCCGTCCAGGATATGAGGAATTTGGGGATATGGCCTTGTCCATGTCCATGTCCCAGGTTGGAGGGGACCACGTTTCAGTTCCTAAAGGTTCCGAAGCTTGGTAGCCCAGTGGTACCCTTTACCCTTTTTTTTTGGTTCTGGTTTCCCTTATAAAATAGCCAACCCAAAAAAGGGTGCCCTTATTGTAATATGGTTACTGGCCTACCAAGAAAAACGGAAGGGACCATGTCCCAGTTCCTAAAATGTCAAAACGGACGGGGCTATGTCCTGGGCCCATGGGTCCATGGGGACCCATGCGCCCAGACTTGGGAGTTTTGAAACTGGGACCATGTCGGTTGAAACATGGTCCTCGCAGATTTTCCGGCACCGACCTGCCACAGCCTTGCAAGCTGGCCGAAGGTTTTGTAATTGGAGAAGAAACCCCTTGTTACAGGTCGCCTTTACAGTTTCAGGTCCGCAAGAAGACTGTTTCGGGGTTTAGGGTTTACAGTAGGGTTTAGGGTTTAGGGTTTAGGGTTTAGGGTTTTCACTTGGCTGCGGCTACTGCCGCCAAAGATGCTGCAGGACTTGCACCAGGAGATCCTTGACAGGGATGAAGAGATTGCGGAGCTGAAGGCGCGGGGCCAGGGGGGTTTAGGGTTTAGGGTTTAGGGTTTAGGGTTTAGGATTTAGGGTTTAGGGTTTAGGGTTTAGGGTTTAGGGCTTAGGGTTTAGGGTTTAGGGTTTAGGGTTTAGGTGGGTGTACCGGCAGGGTTGCAGTTGCACAAAACACATGGGAGAAGCACCAAGAATTTTGCAGAGAATCCGGCAGAGTATCACCGGAGGGCCCACTCCCCTGCGAACCAGAGTGGCCACCACCAGCTATCCCAACACCGCATCCCATGGCAGCCCTGGAATCAGAAGCAAAAACTGCTTCTTGAGAGTCCTCGCTCCATGTTGAAGTTGTCAGACAGTGACATGCAGATGAGAGGCGAAGATCGAAGCTTATCGCGATGCCTTAGAGACGCTTGGTGTCTGTTCTGCAGCTTTCCCTCCGCATCACACTTTCACAGAACCCTTATCTGCAAATTGAAACTCTAAACCCTCAAAAACCCTAAAACCAAGGAAGGAGCCTCACTTTGACCACTTTGAGATGGCTATGGAAGAGAAGAACAAGGCCGTGGGGTCATAGCAATTGTGGGGAAGTCAGCGCTTGCGCGCGAACTGTCTGACGTTTGTTTGTTTAATTCTCGCGATTCTTGACACTGCACCATTCACTTGTTGGCTCACATGAGCTTGGTAAGAACCGTGGAGCGGAAGCGCAAGAGTGCACGCCAGTGTCTTCGATCCATTGTATGTTCAAGCCTGTCTCTATGAGGTTCGCGTGTTGTCTCCTTTTCGACGATTGTTTCTGATGAGTGGTTGCCAGCTGTCGCTCAAAGGGCTTCATAGACGCTCCCGTCTCAGGGACTTGCATAGCACAGGTTCCCAAAAAAGCCCCCCCAAAAAGGCGGATGCAACAAACATGGCTTGAAGTTGAGGGCTTTACACTTTAGGATTTTGTTTACCCGGCAGTGTTCGAAGAGGCCTGGAGGCAAAAGGGTTTTTCTAGCTCCAAGGGCCACCTATACCGACCTGCTGCCGGTTAAAATCGAGGTTCTCGGGTTTTCTTCTACTTTAGCAAGAGCTGCTCTGGCTGCCCTGGGGCTGACAGGCAACTGAGTCCGCGGAGCCCTACTGTAGGGGTTTAGCGCAAAAGGCTTGAGGGGTTGAGGGTTTTAGGGTTTCAGGGTTTTAGGTGGACACGCTCAATGCTTGTGGCCTCTAGTTTTTCTGCCTCATTCTGAGTCGTGCCTGTTTGCTGACCCAGTCTTCTGGTTTTCGGACTCGGCCCCTTCCGTTTTCGACTCATCTTCCCGTGAGTCCTCGGGACGCTTCGCGCAGTTTCCGCGTGCAGAGCTGGAGCTTGGTAGAATGCTCCTTCACGTGTCTTCGTGGGTGTGTGTTTGTGTGCCAGTGTGGAAAAACACACGAGTAAAAACAAAATAGTGGTTTGTATTTAGTGAGATATGGAATGATGTCAGTTGCAAGAATGTGAGCCTTTCTTGGGACTCGGTCTTCCACGCATGGGGTGGAAGGCTGCCTCCAGTGCATCCCCAAGTCACAAAACCACTCTTCTCTATATTCCCCTTGGAATTATACTTTTATTTTTGTTTATATAAAACCCGAGAGGATATTAAACATATTGTTTTTAGTAAGGTTCTCAGGGGAGTATAGTTCTTTCGAGACTCCCAGATTCTCACACGTAGTGTTCCCCGTTGCCGTGATGTGACTGACAGGTGCTGGAGGAACAGTTTGCCAAAGTGGAGGAGCCCTGCAAAGCTTACGGAATCTTGGGGTTTGGCGTTTCGGGCGCCGGTTTTGGGGCGAAGAGGGACTGGACAGGCACAGAAATCTGACGCAAGGAGCTCAGGAAGGAGAACCAGTCCCTTCTAGAACGGCTGTGGCCTTCTCAGATTGGCCAAGGAAGCGCCAGCGAAATGAAAGTTGCATCATGTTGCATCCGTGCCGAAGCGGCTTGCCACGATACCCTGACCGTGCCAAAGCCGAGGCAGCATGGTGGGCCGGAGGGCGCCCATGAGGCCGTGGGGGCAATCACGACAGGGGGCTGCTTATCCCAGCTCCCATCATGTGGCGATGTGTGCTTGGCATTGTCTGGCCACAGTCGTTTTTTTGTTTTTGTTTTTGTTTGGGGAGGGGGACACATCGGACGGCCACATGTTGCCACATTAACCGCATTCAAGTTCAGCGCAAGTCAATCCTCGCAGGGCCCAGAGAGTGGAAGCCCCGAGATGGAGGAGAAGCGTCAGGCGCACCCAACGTCTCGACCTTGCAGTTTAGGTGGAAGAAGACACTAAACCCTAAACCCCAAACCCCAAACCCTAAACCCTAAACCCTAAGCCGTGGCCCTAAACCCTAAGCAGTCTTCTTCTGAGCCTAGTTGCCATGGCCTTTGGTTGCTACACACACTCCGCAGGTAGCAGAGGTGGTGCCACAGGCACAAGAGGCCTCGGTGGCACCTCGGCAGCTGTGGGTGAAAGCACAGCCGAATTCGTCTGTGTCTGTGTGTCTCCGCATGTGTGTGTGTGTGTGTTGGTGTTAGTGTTCGTGTTCGTGTCTCTGTGTGTATGTGGGTATGTGGGTATGTGTATGTGTGTGTGTGTCTGCATCTATGTGTGTGTGTGTGTGTGTGTGTGTGTGAGTTGTTCTTCCATATGCTGCAAGGCATGACAAGTTGTGAGACCTTTATACGGCTCAGACCGACCTACCTTCCTGGGGCCTCAAACAAGAAATCGCAGAAGTCTGTCGATGTCTCCAAGTCAGACCTCAGGAACTACGGGCGCAGTTGGATGCGGCTTACCAGGCTGCTGCTTTCTGGCCAAGCAGTGTGCATCATGCATATGACTCACCCCTGATGGTCGCTGAAGCTTTCAAGAGCAAGCTTAGTCGTTCGGAGGTTTCTGACGCTTTTGTTGTGATCTTGCCCCATAAAGCACCACACCTTGGGCAGTGTAAAGCATCAAGAAGAGCCCAAACTGCATTGTGAAGAATGCCATAAGGGTGGGCTCTCGGGGAGTCCCCCACTGCCTAAACTTTCAAACCCTAAACCCCAAACCCCAAAGCCTAAACCTACAGGAGCTGGAAGAGTTACGTGCCTCCACGGACGTGGAGGCCAGATCTGTCATTATCTACTTGGAGGTTCGTGGGGTAGTTAAAAGTAGGGTTATAAGTACCCTATAGGTGGGGTATTATAAGCAGAAGTATAATTAGTACAACTACCATACTTCTGGCCCTAGTTATAACTAGCCATGAACCTCCAAGTAATAGTCCTCAATAGGGATTATAACAGGGCCAACAGGGGGGGAAACAACCCATGAGCCTCGGCGAAGCCAAGGGCCCCGCAAGAGCTCTCTCTAAACTAGGGTCCCTTTTGGGGCCGTTCTTTTTAAGGGTGCCGCACGATCTATATATATATATATGATTATATATCCAAAAAAGGGTTTAGGGTTATATACATATATATATAAATAAATATATAAATATAAATATATCTATATATGTATGTATATATCCAAAAAAAGGGACCCCATTGGCAGGGTTTGCCTTTCAAGCGCCAAGTTCAGGCCCTGGCGACCTGTGTGCGCCTCCACATGGGCAGCTCTCAGTTCTCTAACAGGGCCTTTAGGGTTTAGGGTTTAGTGGCAGTGAATGCTGAGGAACCACGGCTCGTCCCTGCAGAGTAGCGCTTATGGGCGTGGGCAGTGCGAGTGGCGAAACAGGGTTATATTTTTACTTTTTCTGCTAGTGTACTATTGTGCTGTTATACCACTATGCATATATGTATCTATATAGATAGATAGATTGATAGATATACATATATATATATACACTTTTTTAAAAGACTCTATAGTTGTTTAAACATTTAATTTTATGATCATGGTATCGTGCCTCTATATTCGTTCACTATTCTGCCCTTTCACTTAATGGACGAGCAGAACGTTCTACTCGAAAGCGCTTGGAGGAGTCGGCAAGGACAAGGACGGAGAATCTGGAGCTGCGCGCCAGGTGCGTCAAGCTCTGCAAATGCTGGGAGGAACGTTGTTTTGAGGTTTAGGGGGAAGGGGCATAGGGCTTCTAGGGCTTATGGTCAAGCAACGGGCTGTCGAGAAGTTGGAATTTTGAGGTGCTTTCGGTCACAAGAACTCTTCTCAAAGACGAGGTTTGTTGGAAGACATCTGGTAGAAGAGAAGAATACCGTAACAGAAGAATAGAATGACAGGAGAAGAATTGATTATATATATATATATATATATTTATTTATTTATTTATTTATTTATATACATATGTATATCTATATATATACATATGTATCAACTTAAACTAAGTTCCTTACATTCTTGAAGACTCAGGAAAAAGTCCTTGTCAGGTTCACTCATGGAAGGTCCTTTGTAACTTCTAATCCCCATGCCAAGGTGGCACAATGAACGATTCTCAAAACCCGAATCTGCCAGCCGCAGCACTTCTTGTTTAAGGGTCTAGGGTTGAGGGTTTAGGGTTTAGGGCCAGGCTGGCACATGCCATCTACTGCACGACGGAGGCTCAGAGACTTGGCAAGGCTGTAGGACTTTACAACAAAGGCAGGGAGGGACTCGGTTTGGGCAATTCGAGGTGGTTGCAATTAGGACCCCCTTCTGGGTGCATTGCCTCTATGTTGTCTCTCGAGCTCGCACTTTTTGAGGACCCTCGTCAGAGGGACCCAAACTATAGAATCTAGAACCGCCTCATGACAGCTGCGGTTTGTGCTTGTTTAAAGTTGCTTGTACTGATATCACTGTTTTCCGCACAAGGCACTGACTAGGTGAACGATAGATAAAAGTTGCGTGGAAGCGTTCGTGGAAGGCATCAAGGCTCGGGGCAGATCCGTTTCCGGTTCTGGGACACCAGATCATGATGAACAACCCCTCGACTCAGGCTCCCGATGTTCGGATTCCAGGTAGTTATGCTAAGCGAAGGTTGAGTCGAGTTCGCGGAGGGAGGTCCGGGTAAAGCTTCCAGTGAAACCCTAAAGCCCTCGAATCCTAAGCCCTAAAGAACTGTGGTCCTCCTTACTTGGAGGTTCATGGTACTTGTGAACCAATTATAACTGTACGTAGAACCCACTTATAAGCCCCTTCAGTGTGCCCTAATGAAGTTATAATTGGGTTATAAGTACAGTTCGTATTGGGACAATGAGTACCCTGAACCTCCAAGTATGGGAACATCTCGGGACCAGCCGGCTAACCACTTTGTAGATAAGACTCTCAAACAGGAGGTGATCGTATGGCCACGGATTTTGCTGTAGAATGATGGCAACTAGACCGGAGGCCCCTTGAAGTGAACAGTCTGAATAAGCTGGGACAGCCAAGCTTACCTGCCCAGAATCTGGTTGATTGAGCAGCCGCGTTCCCTTATTGAAGCTTTTTTTTCGATTATTAAGCCCTTACTTGGGGAATATGGGGCCCTTACACCCCTCCCTTCCACCCCCTGGTTCCTTATGATGTCTTGATGTTGGTCAGTTTTGGGTTCCTGTGGATGCTAAAAGCTGAGGAAAGCCTTGGCAACAGAGACGGGCCAAGCCATGCCCACCGAAGAGGATATGACATAACTGGCATATGCGGGCATTTCCCAAAACAGGGGTACCCCTCTACATACCCAAATACAATAGAATCCCCATAAAGGGACCCCCCGAAAAGGGTACCCCCCCATTTTCGGCAGCCCCCATGTGGTACCCCGGTAGGTTCATCTCAGAAGCGGGCATCCATGCCAACCCATCTGATCATCCGCGTCGTGACTTTGTTGCTTGCAACACGCCACAGGAGTTGACCTTGACGCTCGACAACGCCAAGCATGCACGGGCCTGAGACATTCTGTGAGCAGACGGCTGCTGCTCAGCGCACTCTTTGTATGCCCACCAGGATGTCCACTGTATCACCCTGAAGCCTAGGTTGGAGTAATGTTGGTGCCTCAGCCTACTTGCCCATGAGTCTGATATCGGAGGCTGCAAAGAGGTTCTCGTACCTACTCTCACCGGGCGTCAAGAATTAGCGGCCGCAAGGTTCGGTCCGCGTGAGGGCCGGGAACTGGGTCGCGGCTGGCAGGCTGGAGCTGTCCAAGCGGTTTAGGGTTTAGGGTTTAGGGTTTAGAGAAGACCAGCAGAAGACGAAGACCTGCTGAGACCTCCCCTTCCAAGTTACAGGTCATGCGAGTCCGCGAAGGGACGTGGGCAGAACAAGCTGGGGTACAAGCAGGGGATGAGCTACATTGCCTCTTGGCTGTCGTTTGGGGCTGGGCGTTGCCATTTAAGTTGCCCTCATTGCTGGCATGGCACTTGCATCACCTAGCTATGTTTAGCCATCCTAGCCGTTAGCTCTTAGCATTTCATGTGCCAGCCTTGTGATTCTTTAAGAGGAAGCAGACAAGTTCTCACTTCTGTGAACAGCAGTGAGCCCTGACTGTTGTGTGCCTGCTACAGATGTGGATGGCCAGCCCATCGAAGTGTTGCCAGAGGCAGGGCCTTTGACATCGTCAGACTTGGAAAGTCTGGCGTTTTACGGCATCAAAGTGGGTGGTGCCGTGACTTGATGCGAGATTGGTTCGGGTCGAGTCCGCATGAGCGTAGATATATCATCGTAGTGATTGAATCAGGGACAGGGTTGTTTAAGGTGCAGCTTGAGGCATCGCAAAAGCAGAGAGCTCCCATCAATGAGCAACAAGTGAGTGGAGGGTGCTGAAGATCACCAAACCCGATGCTGAGCATGCAAACGTGCACACGCACACGCACGCAAGACGCGCGCGCGCGGAGGCTGGCAGGCAGCATGCAAGCATGCAGACAGAGACCACGCAGACAAACAGACACGCAGGCACACCGGCACACAGAGACACGAGAAACACAGTCACGCACAGAGACACAGCGACGCAGTGATGCATCGACGCCGACACCGAAATACGGAACGATATCGACATGAACACATTGCGTGGGAATTCCGGGCATGTTAGCGCAATGCAAGACAATGCAAGTGCAGGCTCTAAACTCTAAACCCTGAAGCTTGTGTCTCAAATCAGGCGGAGGTCTTGGCGCTCCTGCAGAAGCGGCCTGTTGAGCTGACGTGGATTCGCCGGCAGGCAGTGGTGCTCAGGGTAGTGCTTGGAGAGCACATGGAGCCTGCGCCACCCTTCACGTTTCTTACTTATGAGTCGTTCTCACTGAGTTCTTAAAACAAACAGGCGCTGACCAAAGCGACTTAAGTTTCTGTGCGCGATGAACTTGGAAACGATTATAAGGGATCTGCCCCAACATCTTGGTCAGCGCCCTTTCGTTGCTCAAGAGGCCGTTCCAGAAAGAACCGGCGAAGCCAGCGAGGCCTCTCAAGCTCAGGCGCGGATCTCACTCGCGTCACTGTCCCGCATCCGCTTTTAAGCGCCAATGGCAAGTCAGGACTGCTGTGAACGGTTAGAACGTTAGAACGGTTATAGCATGGAATAGAAGGGCCTGCAGCTCTTGCCTGATCATGGTGAGCCTCGGTGCAGGAGAGAACGACGAACAGCGCGGACGCAGATCTACGCAAGAAGCTGCAGGCGATCTGGCGATCATTTGGAGGTTTCCGAAATTTCGGGGTACCTTATTGGGGTCCATATCATAAGGGGATCCTACTATTTGTGGATCTATGTAACGGGTCCTCTATTGTCGTAAATCCCCATTTCCTGGCATCATGTTACAAGCTTGAAGACAAGCTTTCGAGGTAAGGTGCGACGTCCGAGCAGTTGACACAGCGAGCCAAAGAGTAGGTCCCGACGCCATAAGGATGCCGAGGAGCAAAACCGTGCGTTGGAGGAGCCAGACATGACTTCATAATTACAGTGACCCTAAACCCTAAACCCTAAACCCTATATAGCTAACCCTAAATCGCATCTGGTACCTGCTAGTGATGTGTGAGCTTGTGTGCGAAGTGCAGCTCCTGTTTCGCAGTATAGGTTCGGCTTAGGGGTCACTGGACTACAGTGACCCTAAACCCGAAACCCGAAACCCGAAACCCGAAACCCTAAGCCCTAAGCCCTAAGCCCCGACTTGCAGCGCAGACCTGCGAAGGACCAGCTGAAAAGACTTTCAATGGAGCTGGGTAAGGCCCCGGTCACCGGAAATGCCGGTTGAGGGCGGCAGCGACTTTTTTTTGCATCTCACAATGGACAAGAATATGTAAACAACATGTAGGACAATGTAGGATGAAGATGGGCTGTGGTGGACTTAAGGGCGATGCACCTGCAAACAAAGTTTATTTGCAGCGCATTTCCCGAGACAGCTGTCTTCGGAGGTGCAAGCTGGTGACTTCGTGGCTCGACTGCCGTCGGATGCGTGCACGCATGTCTCTAACCACGTCGTGCTACAGTAATCGAGGAATTTCAGAACTTCACAACATCTCGAGCCCAGGAATGTTTAACTGAGGTTGTGGTTCGGGCGCAAGGGCAGGGGGATGCACAAGGTCTTCTGTTACCACTCTTGTTTTCAGGGAGGCGTTGTGAACGTTCTTCAGCCTTTCATGGGGGACCCCCAGCTGGTTTAGGGTTTAGGGTTTAGGGTTTAGGGCTTAGGGTTTACCATACGCCCAGAATGCGCCAGACTTGGCTTGGTCTACGCCTTCCCTGCTTATCATGGCTTAGAGCTTCCGTTTTGCGGAGGGTTTAGGCAAGCTGTGGCCGGAGCAGTGCTAATTTCAATGCAGTCCATCCGTTTCAAAAGACCCTCAAATGGTGGGCACCCTTATCTTCATGAGCTTCTCTTCTGAAATATCATCTTTTCCATAGGGCTTAACGTACTCGGTTTCGGGGGGTCGTTCCCCCAGGCTTGAAAGCTGGGGACTCGCTGTGGGCTCCACATCATCCCCCCCGCTGATCCCTTGAAAATGTTCGGGCGTGGTTTCGTAAAGCAACCTTAAAAAGGAATGTAGATAAACAAAAACAGGGCTCCGATCCGAATTTTGCTAACCCAAAACCCTAAAACCTAAACCCTAAACCCTAAACCCTAGACGGGTGGCAAAAAAAAACCCTAAACCCTAAACCCTAAACCCTAAACCCTAAACCCTAAACCCGAACTGCCCCCAAAGCCCCCAAGGCCCTGACGTTTTGGGCCTGAGGGCTGCAGGGTTCCGGGCCTTCGAGTCTTCTGCTGTTTTTTTTGCAGAGTCCGCGCCCCCGAAACTTCACATGGGTTTAGGGTTTAGGGTTTAGGGTTTAGGGTTTAGGGTTTAGGGTTTAGGGTTTAGGGTTTAGGGTTTAGGGTTTAGGATTGTTCCTGGTAAGGAAGACGTACTTCGAGAGCGACAGGAGAAGCTGGATGCCTTGCAAGTTCCTTGGCGGGTATGAGTTTGATTTGTTGTTGCCTTCTGGCGTGTACAGTTGACTCCTCAGACAAACACTTCGCGATACACCTTGCTGTTATCATTGCCGCTGTACGCAAGGTAGGTTTCATAGCTTGTCCAGCAAAGTCACCGGTTTTTCTTGCGCTTCCTCCTTCGATGTTCCTCTCTGCGACCGATCTCTTGACAACTTTGCCAGGACGAATTGTCTAGAGCACCTCGGCCGCAGGGAAAGCATGCATCGTCGGCCTTACTGACAAGAAGCTGAATGGCATGCCCGCGCATGCTGCAGCATGCGCGTAGGATTGCAGCCACTGTGTCGACTGTCCCCGTTTGTAGGAAGGCTTGCTGTCGGCCCAGATTTGCCTCTGCTAGCTTCTGTGTAGGATACCCTTCTTAAGTCGTGCGGAGCCTTTGGACTTCTGGAAAAGCCGCCATTCTGTTTGCTGAAGCCAAGGTTAAGTCGGAGCTGGAATCCAGACCGCCGCCGCAACTCAATCTTTGCATCAGTGTGTCCCCAAAGAGCCCAATACCCGTTAAGTAAGGAGTATGCGTATGCCTTAAACCATATTAAGGATCCCTATATTATGATTTAAGGCATATTCCTAAATTAAGGGGTATTGGGCTCTCTGGGTCTTCGCATCTCCCAAGGCTACAAACCCCCCCCCCCCCCCACAACCGGCGGTGTTTTGTGGTCTCTGCGGCATGTGGACCATTTGACCGATGGATCCCTTCAGTATCCCTCAGTTGACCTATAGATCCCTCAGTATCCCTCAGTATCCCTCAATGCCAGCAAGGCAGATCCAGCCAGCTCTCGATGATGCTCAGGACCTGCTTGTGGCGCAAGCCATTTCAATCTGCCCTTGTGCACGTGCTCATACTTTGAGTACAAACAGCTCGTACCGCCAGCATCACCTGGGATTCAGGAACTGGGAAACTTGCCAGGGCAGTCAAACTTGCTTGGACATGTCATTGGTGGCCCTGCCATGGCCCGCGACATGTTTTGTGCAACCGTGCTGTCATCGACTCGGCTCACTGGCATTTTACAACAGCGTTTCGGCTTAATGTCTGTACAGACTGTAGTTTCAAGTTTCAGAACCCAAGCGATTCGCCACGCATCTTCCCAACCGATGCTGGAGCTGGCCCTCTCTTGCGTTGCCATGTTAGCTTCTCCAGAGGATGAAGTGGCTTGCTATGCATATTTTAGGGTTTAGGGTTTAGAGGGTTTATTATGGCGTGCTGACTGATGACGTAGAATGACGTAGTATGCTGAGCCGAGGTGGACAGTACCCCAACCGAGATCAGCTGCCAGCAGTCGCCAACATCAGCAGAAACAGACGAGGCGAGGGCCAAGAAATGTGTCTTCTTGTTGCCATGCTATTATATGCCCATGCCACATTTGTTTCTACACGCTGAGCTTCTGAAGCAGGAGCCAGTATCACCGGAAATCGCTTGCTGCCCCTCTCCGCATGCATTGTTTAACATCGGCGATGGTATTCATCGTCACAGTGTCCAGGTCAATCACAGCAAACGGAACGACTGTGGTTTCAAGATGAACGGCATTCGCAGCAACAAGGTCGAAACCATTATTGCACAGCTCCGCTCACAACGGCTCTGCGCGCGCGCTGAGCTACTGGAGTTTTTGGCGTGCAACGGCTTCCAAGTGCGAGACGTCAACTGCAAGAAGCGCACCATGTGGGGGCTTGGATACACCTATCCCCTGCATATGGCTGCAGTACAGGACCGGCCACGTATTGTAAGCCTACTCCTCCAATGCGGGGCAGATGCTTCGAAGAAGGATTCGAGAGGTCGCAAGGCATGCGAGACACTCAGAGGCATTGCTATCATTGCAAATGCCACCTACATGCCACTACTTTATACCACTCTGTGCAAATTTATTTGCGCATCCTTACCAGTGTGTCTCTTGATGCTTCCAGTCCCCCAACACGTTTCGCTCCCGCTTTCCTGAAGGGAACTAACCATGGGCACCCACATTATGACATCGTTTCTGGGCTACCTATAGGACCTAATCAGTCACAGTCAGCTCCTAGCGCGTGACTGGAGACCTTTGGGGGCCCTGATTCGCTGAGGATTGCCAACATCAGCGATTCTGTCCGTTCAAGCTTCGACTGGCGCAGGCACCGTCGAGTGCTGTGGAAATTGTGAGGTGCAGGACGGGAGAGGGTCGTGCAAGTCAAGTCGGGCCCGGGGCTACTCGGATGAGAAGCCATCCCTTGAACAGGAGACGTGTGCGCACTTTGGACCACTCGCCATGCAGATTATCATCGCCACTGTCAGCATTTTCTTTGGTTGCTGCCGTTTGCAGGCTGCAGTCTTACACAAAGTATTGCAGAAGTTACTTGATAGAACATCACAAGCAGTACATGAAAACAAATTCAACTTCTGGCAAGAGAAGGCAGGAAACGCCCGTGTCGATGAGGGTCGCAGTGACACCCGAAGAAAAAAAACAGACGTTGTACTTGGAGGTCGCTAGGTCGCTCGCAGGTTAGGCTTGGGCGTGAGTGCTCTTGGAGCTGAAGTCTGCATGTCCTGTATACGACGGCATGTAGCAGGCAAAGACGAAGACACTCGAATCGAACCGAATTGATTGCCCGAAGGCGGAAATCCGCCGATATCCGATCTTTTCGAAAACCTCGACCTAATAGCGCAGGATAGGAAGCTGGGAGCACAGAGCAATCTGCACCCTGCTGTACCATCTTCATTGCGCGTGGTAGACTCCGAGTCTGGACACTCTGCTCAGGGCTTGCGCCACCCGCCAAGGACAGATTTGTCACGGTCGTTGATCTGATCGTGGTGAAGCTGCCCGAAGGCTTCGCTCTTGATCCCTCCAGGTGATGGAATCGCTGACTCTGGAGTAGATTGGAGTAGGGGTTTAGGGTTTAGGCACAGCTAAAGAAGGCTTTAGCCGCGGTACCCGACAGAGCTCGCGGGGTCAACAAAGACTTTAGGGTGCAGTGTAGGCTTTAGGGTCTAGGGGAGCATGACAGGATGTTCAGGGTTTAGGGTTTAGGGTTTAGGGGTTCAACCATCGGCCCTGCAGTTCGCACAGAAATCGCATTCTTTCTTGCCGTCGTTGAGAAAAGCACGACTCCAGAGTTGTCGGGTCTTTGTATTTCAATCTGCCGTCGTTTGGATCGTCTTGATCAGGGGCGACGCCGTTTCAGCCCAGAGTTTATGACCGCTGGGGCTTACCTCCGATCAGCCTCCTGAGACACTGCAAATCGACAGTTGCATCGACTAGCGGCATGCGCGCCCTACAATCCTCCGATCCTCCAAGTGCGGTGGCAGTGGGGCTGGTCAACTACTGTGTTTTTAATCGTTTCATCTGAAGCGATGAGACGTGAAGCGGGAAGCGTGCATGGGCCACGCGCAGCTTTTCATGAGTTTTGGTTTCTGGGGCTTTATGCAGCTCATTGCGCCGCCAAGGGCACGTTCGGTGCCCAGTATGTACTGCTTTGAAGCTTGACACAAGTTTGACATTGACTGAAGCTGAAAAAGACGGTGAAATTTTGTGTAGGGCTTCACTAGTCGATTTCAAGAGACGAGCTGGAGACGGGGATGGCCGGGCCACGCATGTGAAGGTGCAGCGTCAGTTCCATATACCACAGTACTGCTTAAGTACATTTTCCTTGCCGGGCTTCCTTGTCAGCTTTTTGCGTCCGGTTGATCTCTGTACCGCGGTGCAGTATCATTGGGTGACAAAGAGCCGGCTCAGACTTGTACCGTCGCGTTTATTCATGCCCATGCATGACCAAATGCAGTCCAACGCTGTCCCGGCATGTGGCATAGAGACACCACGCGTAAACGTAAACATGTTACACACCCTAGTAGTGCCTTTATGCCTTGGTGCCAGATACCGGCAAGACCGCACCCGTTTCAAGCACGAACACTGTGCGCATGCCATCACTTCACGCTAGCAGGGATCTGTCAGAAACCCGTGGCTTTAAGCCAAAGCAACAACTCCAAGCGAGTTCGCACGAAATTGACCAGCCGGTAGCAGCCATATTCATAGTCGTAGCCACAGTCATAGTGCTAGTCCTACCGAAGCAACTCATCCTGTCGGAGCTGAGCGGTGACGATCCCTCTGTGTGTTTGGCGACGACACTATGAGCCATGGCATTGTCTTGCATGGAGTGTTGCTTGTTCCATTAGTTCTGTTCGCACGTGACAAGTTGTTGGTTACAAACGGCATGGCTGTAGCGTCACTTCGAATAGTCTACACAAACGAGAAGCCACGTTTGCACGTTTTGGCACAATGAACAAGCTGGGCCCCTTCGAAGCTTGTCCGCCCGCGGATAGACGCTTGTGAACACCACTTTCCGTAAGCATGCGTGCGACACAAGACTAGCGACGAAAAAGGTCTCCCTAAACCCTAACTCCATAAGCCCTAAGGCCTGACATACACCCCTACACACTCAGTCGGCAACCGAAAGAGAAGAGGTAGACGGTTTAGGGTGGCTTTGGCTCAAGCCATTTTGCTACGGGGCCAAACAGGCACCCGTCCATCGAGTTCTTCGAGTCCTTCGAGCCCTCAGGGCACCTCCACGTGCACGCAGCAGCACGCCCTCGAGCCACAACGGCAGCATGCGAAAAGTGTGCCAGTCTGATTTGACATCTTGCGGCGCCCAGGCCGCTGCGGGTGGAGTGCGAAGTTCTTGGTACACCCGAGCTGGATGCACTCGCCGCGCAGAGGATGGTAGCAGACAGATCCAGAGCATGGAACACATGGTTGACCTGGTTGACCGAGAAGCTTGCCCGTCAACTGCACCTATCTTTTCTCCATCTTCTGCCGGTGGGGTGCTGGAGACAGGAGCCAGAAACCATGAGGAGCTTGAACCGGCGAAGAGCGATTTGCACCAGCAGCCGGGGCCCAAATTCAAAACTGCTGTCGCCCCATGGAACTTGACTTGGAGTCCAAGCGCCTTGCATCTTGCATAGCCTTTTCGATTCGGCGGTCCAAGCTGTGTGGACATGGTACCATCGCACCCTACCTTGAACGGGCTCTTCACATTCTCGTGACTCGTCGGATGCCACCAGTGCAAGCTCTGAAGATAAGTCTGTTTGATGCTCTCCACGACGTGCCAAACCACGCCAGAGCTCGTGACCGCGAACCTGGGATCACTTTATCAGCGTCGCCAGCATCTGAAAATTGGACAAATGACTCTGATAAAGGCGCCCATGCTGCGAGCGATTCGGTCCTGACAGCCCTGATGGAACGTGTTCTCGCCTCGGCTCGACTCTTGCAACTTTGTCGTCCCGCCTTGAGAAGTTGGAAGCGGCTGAAGCCTCCAATGTTGGATATGTGCCGGGTTCCCCGACTTCCCGCGTGCATAGTGCATCCCAAAGGCTACCTCAACGGGCTTTTGATGTGATGCAAGGTTCAGCACCTTCTTTGGAGAAGCTGAAGAGCGAGCATCGTGAACGGCGGCAGGCGGAGAAACAGCGGCGAAGGCAGGAACGTCTGAATGCGCCGCGTGCGCCAACATAAGGTTGTGTGCTGCATGTTTCCGGTAATTCCGTGTGCAATCGTCCAACTTGCAAATGCGTGCCATGCCTAGCTCATGAAGCCTCTGCTGTCAAGTTGCGCATGAATCATGTCTTTCATGTGTCCCCCGGTCAGCTTGGAGAGCGACTGGTTCCGACAAGGTCAGTGTGCACAGTGTTTCAGCTTATACTCCTGTTTGATATCGTGCCGAGTGAGTGGCTGCTGCGTGTCCAGCGCTTAGCAGTTGCTTGGGAGTTTTCGGTGGTGCATGGGACTCTGGCTTGCGGCAGCAACAACAACAGAATGTCAGGCCTTGCGTTGGGCCTGCAAATCCTACATTTGATTTCTGGGGACCCCGCCTACGTGCCGGCCAGACTTCCCCGAAAGAGAAGCGCTGAATCCGGGCCAAGACTCGTCGCCATGAAGGAAGAAATTACCGAAGCTTCTCCCTAAACTCCTGATTTTTTGAGCGTTGCGCATCGCCCACCTCGGCTTGGCGCGGGAGGCTTGTAGGGCAACAAAGAGTCCACATGCAAAGAAGGGGTCAGCCCGTTCTATCCCCATAGCTTGGCTGTGATCGGCTACAAGCGCTTGTCGACTTGCCACTTTCTTCTAGTTCATTCGAAAGCCAGTCCACAGGCCTGGATGAAAAAGAAGAGCAGACATGACGCAGTTTTCAGCGGGTCCAGAGCTCGGCCCAAGGCGTCCAGCAGCCACTCTCCCTCTGCTCCTTGCCAAGGGCGCAAAGGGGGGAGGTTCCCTAAACCCGAAACCCAAGGCCAGAGAAAGCAGTGAAGCTCCAGAAAGGGGGCGATCCAGAACCCCGCAAAGGGGAACGATGTAGCGACACGCAACCTTAGGTGAATTTTGCCGAGACTTGCTGAGCCAGGAGTGGCTTGGGGAAAATGCCCCCCCGGCCCCCCCCCCTCCCCCCCACACGTTCCAGCGCTCTTTGCTTAACAATCATGTACACCTAGCCCTAGCGCTAAAAACTGGCGGTAGGTGTCGCGTGACAATCAAGATGGGACGAAGACAGTGCGCAGGTTTCCTGCAACTTCAGTCACGTGCCACATGCTGCGTGGCCCCTACAAGCGGACGGAAAAAGATATAAGTAAAGGGTTGCAACTTCAGAGGAGGGGAGATCAGGAGATGCTTGGGTATACTTGTGTATCTCGCATCTAGGCGGGCGGCGTGCATGAGTTTGAATGTTTGAGCAATGGGTGATAATGGGTGGCTGCCGGTGGCTTTCAAAGCCAACAGTGGTGATTGCTAGGTGTAGCGCTGAACATAGCTACCTAGGTTTTGAGTGTGGAAAATGGGCAAGTACCCAGAACTTGTCATCTTGCAATCGCCACACGTCCGTTTAAAGCCTACGACACTGCATCGGGATGATGCAGCAGCCTTCTAGCCAGCCTGGCTAGGTGCTGCGCTCTCGAGTAGTGTCGACCTGTGAGTCTATGCAAGGAGCAAAAAACCGCGCGTGTTAGATCCGAGTCTGTGGGCTTGGAGCTTGGAATGGTACATCTGCAGCATGCTCCGCACTTGCTCCGCACTTGCTCCGCACTGTCCCCAATGCTGCGCGCCTGTGCAGCTGTCCTGTCATGTATCCTCCAGCAGATGGCCCTTCACTTGTTCATTGCCTGGACCCATGCCAAGCTTTTTGCAGGATGGGAGCTCCAAGGATCTCCGTGAGCGCGTGCAGTCGTTGGAGGACGCCTGGTGTTTAGGTTTAATGTTGAATTCTGGAATGATGCCGGGTCGGGAAATCTGGCCAGCATCGAAGCTGCTGTATTTGCTGAGAGATAGGGTGGGGGCAGAAGGTAGCTTTAGGCCGCTTCAGGTTGCAAGGCGCAAGTCCTGAGACTTGCCAATGTCAGGAGTCAGGACAGCTGTTTTGGCGAGAGTGTGGCTCTAACTGCCTTGATGCTACCCTAAACCCTAAACCCTAAATCCTAAACCCTAAACCCTCTGTGCCTTTTTTCTGGCCTCCGTAGTCAGGAGCAGCTGTCAACTGCTGAGGCAGCAAGGCACGGTTCGCCTTGGTCGCTGCTGCTACAGAGTACTGTATGGGTTTAGGGTTTAGGGTTTAGGGTTTAGGGTTTTAGGGTTTTAGGGTTTTCGGGTTTTTGGGTTTTTAGGGGTTTTAGGGTTTTAGGGTTTTAGGGTTTTAGGGTTTTAGGGTTTTAGGGTTTTAGGGTTTTAGGGTTTTAGGGTTTTAGGGTTTTAGGGTTTTAGGGTTTAGGGTTTAGGGTATGCCTTAGTATGAACTCAGCATGAGGGCTGGTTGGCTTCAGCAGAGGAAGTGTCCCAGATACGTAAAGCGAGCACCGGTGACATGCTTGTTCCATGCATCGTGCAGCCTGGGATCGCGGGAATCCGTGTGACTGCTGCGACTGCCACACCAATGAGCTAACAATAGTCTTCTCACCCAAGCTACTAATAACGGAGCCAGGCTTGAAACTTGTTTGGAAAGCAGCTGCGAGCAATTGCCCTTGGCTTCCCCCCTCAAGTTCTCTAAAACCGACCACAGTCACGAGGGTGACCAGAGGCCACGCATCTCGCCCTGAGATACGCCAGGCGGCAGGCCGACGAGGCGCGTGCAGCTTGCACGGAAAAGCTCGCGGCGCTGGAGCTGGAGGTCTGGCAGGGGCTACTTTGCTTAGGCCTAGGTTTAGGGTTTTTCGGGTTTATAGGGTTTGTAGGTTTATGGGGTTGAAGGGGTTCAGGTTTAGGGTTGAGGGTTCAGGAGGTTGGAGACACCATTGGAGGCTCCCGCCATGGTTGAACATAGTTTTGTTGTTTGATACAAGCACATGTGACTTCATGGTAGCATGTCGGGGTCAAGCTCCGAGCAAAAAATCATCGACATCAGGGTTTAGGGTCGCCAGCTCTATGCACCCTCCTAGCCTAGCTATCCAAAGCGTGTGGAAGTGTAGATTGTAGATGTGACACATCGCAAGATGCTACCGCTGCTGGGCGGAATTTGCATAACAAGGTTTCGGGATTGTGCTTCGCGTGGATTGATGGTCTTTCGCTTGAACTGCCTGGGCCAGTTCGCTACATATAGTCTGTTTTTTTACTTTGATGTTGATTGTTTTTTGTATAAGTTGTTTTATGTGATGTTTTTTATGTTTTCGGTGTTCTTTTGGGGGGCGGGGGGGGGGGGGTCTTTTTGCAAGCGAGGAGAAGTGCGGCAAGAATGGTTTCTCTTGCGGCCACACATTCCGGGGTTTGCTAGTCCCTAAACCCTAAACCCTAAACCAGCAGAATGGAAGCAGTCACTGTGAGCAACTCTGGAGATGCCAACGCTCAAAGCGCAGGTCGCAGATGCAGAGGCATGGGGTTCAAAGAACATGAACAGTCCTGTGGATGTGAAGTTGATGACCCTAAACCCTAAACCCTAAACCCTCGATGTGAAGTTGATGTGCGTCTATAGTCATGCCCACGATCGTGAGAGCACTCGTGCCCCGCACGGGCAAGAGCTGCCACGGTTGCGAGGCGCAGCGGGCGGCTGCCCTGCAAGATGCTGCCGGAGCATCTACAGAGCTGCAGCAGCAGTTAGAGAGGCTACAGTCTGAAGCGGCACAGGCAAGTCGGACAGTCATGACAGACCGATGTGAATCCGATTCCATTCAATACAGGGATGGAGACCCGAAGCGTCCATGAGTCCATGTTTGCAGGTGCCGGACTTGCGCGACAAGCTTGCTGAGCTTGAGGCAAGGATGTAGCGGCCAGCACACGTCGCCCTCATGCCGTTCCACGACATTGGTCTGTTTTTTTTCGGGGACTGTTGCCTGGTGGTTTCCGGCTTGGTTCCTTCACCAGCTAGAGAACAAGCATGTCGAAAAGTATTGCCGAGAAAAGTTTCAAGATGTTCCAAAAAACAAGTCCAAGACAAACGGGTGACCCTGCGGGCATGCGCAGACGCGAAGGCCAACCACGAGTCTGCGCTGCAAGCGCAAGCATCAGCCGAGCAACTGCAGCACGAAGTCGAGAGACTGAAGGCCGAAGCTGCTGATGCACAGGCGCAACGAGCCGCGATGGAGGCACGGGCTTGCACGGGCTTGCCATGGCGTGCCTGCAGTTTGCGAGGGTGCTTCGCTTTCCGAGCGTCCATCAGGCTGACCAGGCTTCGTTGCAAGAAGCTGCCGGAGTGTCGGCAGAGCTTCAGGAGCAGTTGCAAAGGCTACAGTCTGAGGCTGCGCAGGCGGGCCACGACCCACAACTGAAATCGAGCAGCTTGCTTCGTGGTGCAGGTGCCGGAATTGCAAGGCAAGCTTGTCGAGCTGGAGGCTCGATGCTTGCTTTGTTGTGGTGGTTCATGAGTCGCACGAGCAACTGGGCAGGCTGCGCAGGAGCGCGCACTCCAAGTACAAGCCTCCACCGAGCAGCTGCAGCTTGAAGTTGAAAGACTGAAGGCCGAGGCAGCTCAGGCGCACAATGCAACAGAGATCAAGAGGGACAACTTCAATTCTGTGATCCTTAAAGATGGGTGGTGGAAAGGTCAATAGTTTTTCAGGGAGGCAGGTCCAATTTAGACATCGTCGTGTGCAAGACCCAGTCGTGGCGCGAGGTGCCAGCACTGAAAGCACAGATCGCCGACGCTGAGGCAAGGAAGTGAATTCTTGTTGTGGCTCGTGCTATCCCAAATCCGGGCTCAATTTTGCTTCTTCCGCTGCAGGGGAGATAGGGAGGATAGCAATGCACCTCATCATCCCTCATCTGAACGCAGCCATGCCAACGACCACAGGTACCCAGTATCACGTGCTTTGCACACATCTAGGTTCGAGGGGATCTAGTTGAGATAACTGGATGCGGCACCGCCATCTGTACTAACCTTCAAAACCATGTTCCTCACTCTTCGTGCTATGCTGCCTCGCGTTCTGAAGACATGCGGCGGTGCGGAAAGAAGGGGCCTGACGGCAGAGTTTTTGAGCCGTGGCCCGGAACCCCACAGGCGAGCACCCGTGAAGCTGATCGAATCCACGCCAGCAAAACGGTGCCGAAACCGATGTGATACAAAGCTCCGAGCTCGTCGACACGCGCTTGGCTTCAAACAAGGGAGCTTCTTCACGGCACAAGCTTTAAGGGGAACCTACCAACTGTAACGTGCCTCTTGTTTCCACTACTTTCCAGCCAGGCTGTCCTCATTTGTTGTGCTGTCTACATGATGGTTCGCCCATGCTTGTCCCGGCGACACTAATTAATCTGGCTTCAATCTCACCTGTGTTTGCTCGTGCTTTACCTTGTTTTGTCCTGTTCGAGTCTTGGCCATACGAGTGAGCGGTGCGAGGCGCAGCAGGTGGCTGCCCTGCAAGATGCTGCCGGAGCATCTACAGAGCTGCAGCAGCAGTTAGAGAGGCTACAGTCTGAAGCGGCACAGGCAAGTCGGACAGTCATGACAGACCGATGTGAATCCGATTCCATTCAATACAGGGATGGAGACCCGAAGCGTCCATGAGTCCATGTTTGCAGGTGCCGGACTTGCGCGACAAGCTTGCTGAGCTTGAGGCAAGGATGTAGCGGCCAGCACATGTCGCCCTCATGCCGTTCCACGACATTGGTCTGTTTTTTTTCGGGGACTGTTGCCTGGTGGTTTCCGGCTTGGTTCCTTCACCAGCTAGAGAACAAGCATGTCGAAAAGTATTGCCGAGAAAAGTTTCAAGATGTTCCAAAAAACAAGTCCAAGACAAACGGGTGACCCTGCGGGCATGCGCAGACGCGAAGGCCAACCACGAGTCTGCGCTGCAAGCGCAAGCATCAGCCGAGCAACTGCAGCACGAAGTCGAGAGACTGAAGGCCGAAGCTGCTGATGCACAGGCGCAACGAGCAGCGATGGAGGCACGGGCGTGCACGGGCTTGCCATGGCGTGCCTGCAGTTTGCGAGGGTGCTTCGCTTTCCGAGCGATCAGGCTGACCAGGCTTCGTTGCAAGAAGCTGCCGGAGTGTCGGCAGAGCTTCAGGAGCAGTTGCAAAGGCTACAGTCTGAGGCTGCGCAGGCGGGCCACAACCCACAACTGAAATCGAGCAGCTTGCTTCGTGGTGCAGGTGCCGGAATTGCAAGGCAAGCTTGTCGAGCTAGAGGCTCGAAATTTGCTTTGTTGTGGTGGTTCATGGGCGCTCATGGTCATATAGTTTCTTAGCCGCACGCAGTCACGCGGGCAACTGGGAAGGCTGCGCAGGAGCGCGCCCTCCAAGCACAAGCCTCTACCGAGCAGCTGCAGCTTGAAGTCGAAAGACTGAAGGCCGAAGCTGCTCAGGCGCACAATGCAACAGATCAAAAGGTCTGTGATCCGTAAAGACGGGTGGTGGAAAGGTCCATAGTTTTTCAGGGAGACGTTGGGCAAGAGCGAGTCTTGGCACGAGGTGCCAGCGCTGAAAGCACAGATCGCCGACGCTGAGGCAAGGAAGTGAATTCTTGTTGTTGCTCGTGCTATCAGATTCCATAGTGCAGCGCTGGAGCTGCACGCTTTCGGACGCTTAAATATTCCTTCTTCCGCTGGAGCGGAGCGGGGGAGGATAGCAATGCCCCTCAGAAGGCAGCCATGGCAACAAAGGTAGCCGGTACTTGTAAACACTTGCGCGCCGCCGCGGCAGCCGGGCCGGCCCACAGGAAAGGAGGAAAGAGGGCCTCAAACAAAAAGGGGAGGGGGGGGTCCCTAGAAAGGGTCCCAGGCGTCCCAGGGGGGGAGTGAGGGGGGGTCCGGGGCCCCAAGCAAAGTGCTCCTCGGCAGGAAGCCGAGGCGAATTCTAGCAGATGTCCAGTGAGATTGTCAAAGTTCAGGAAGAGCCATGCCGCCACAAATTAGCCTTACCATGTGCATGCGCCCGTGCCACCGACATTATTGGCCTGCTTTTCACAAATTTTCACAAGCTCGTCGGGACACACCACCGGCAGAATTCCCCTAGTGCTGGCGCCTACGTCGCCTATGTCTCCTGAACCCACCAAAAACTCCAACGAAAGCCTTGGGGCACAAAAAACCCAAGAAGCACAACCGCTCCACACAAATTCAAGCCATAAGACGTGGAGTCTGGCGCGGTGTTCTGGATGCTTTGTCTTGAGAATTGGGAGCGGGACATGGCTGAATGTTCCGGGTTCCACCTATCCCGCATGGCATCACAGTCGTCGTTGGCCCAAACGCGTCTTGAACAGATTTGGCAGGTGTCGTTAAGCAAGTATCTTTTTCAACATGGTCCAATGTGCCGGCCTGGACACCAGCCCTGAGGTTCCCCAGGTTTCCCTCCTCGCATGTCGCCGTGTGCGCGAGGCAGCGCGCGACCCTGGCGCTGGGAGGGCACCAGAAGGCTCGACTCGCCGGCATGTCAGATGTGAGGATGTCCCTTGCAGAGCAGGCAAGAGCCTCCAATGCACCTGTTCTTCAAGCCCTTGTAAGATGCGGTCCGCTCATTTTTGCGCGCAGATGGTGGGGACGGCTGGGGAGACGAGCTGGATTTGGGCAGCTTGCCTGCAAAAGCATGCACGGATGAAGTGGCTTTCCCATGTCTACAGCAATTCTGCAGTGTGGATTCGACTTTCGGAGTATCTTGAAGCTTCTTGCTTGCAGCACCGTTCGATTGTTTTTGTTGGAGGTGTTGGTGGCCTGGGTGGTGATGCTGGCCTGAGTGGTGTCGCGGCAGCTCACCGAGCAGCTCACCTCAGACATACGTAGTTGTTCCTGCGAGCAGCACGCGTGTTGTGCAGACATGGTAGATGCAGAAGTCAGCTCGCCAGGGCAGTTGCAAGCCTCTTCAAAATCCACTGGGTTCGGGCTGCATGCGACATGCGACTTGCAGATCCCAGCCCCTTCCCCCTACCCCTAATATTAAATTCTCCCAGTATAGTATTACTACTACTATTATTATTATTATGATTATTATTATTATGGTGGCTATAGTATAGTATATGGGGGGGTATGTTAGGGGGAGGGGATTATATGCGAGTGCGCTGAGGCAGCGCCCGCAGCGGCAGAAGAGACAGACGATCAAGGCAAAGCACGGTCTGGGACGGCTGTGACCGTCTGTGAGTCTGTCAAGGTTGAGTGAGCACTGAAGCGGTAGTGAAGCAGGTTTCTAGGGTTCAGGCGGGTAAGGCAGCAGGCCAGGAAGAAGTTTGAGTCCATAGACTCGAGACATGGTATGACATGGTGCTGCAGGGGTCAGGGGGCTGCCACTGGGATGCCCGGAGCGCCGCGTTGCGCGGAGGTGGCTGGGACGACTTCGACCTCGAGGATGCATTGTCCAAGGAGGCTGCCTTGGGCTTGGCTTCAAACTAAATTCCAGCGACCCCGTGAGCTTCCCGCGGCGCGTCTGCACGTCTCTTCGGCAGCCCCACGTGTTCAGACTGCCAGGAGCCCGCCAAGCCTGCAACGAGCATTCAAGTCGACGCGGCAGAAGGCTGCATCTGCTGGCTGCTCCTTAGGGTGTGCATGTGAGGCGGCTTCGCATGAGCAGGGGGCATTAATCTGGCCATGATAGGTCAGGGCTGGGACGATTTCGACTTCGAGGAGTCTTTGCCCAAGGAGCTTGGGTTTTGAAACGGGAGTGAAACAGGATCAGATAGGGAGAGGAAGGAGAGCAGAACTTGATCGCCGCAAAGATGTTGCTGCGCAAACCGGAAGTGCCAAGGCCTTTGGCGGATCCGCACAGACAGAGCCCAATACCCCTTAATTCAGGAATGTACCTTAAATTTTACCCTTAAAATATAGAAGGATCCGAAGTATGGTTACTCCTTATTCAAGGGGTATTGGGCTTTTCGGGTCTACCTCGCCGAGAGGAGCCGGTCACTGCAGCGCCGGATGTGGACGCAGCTGCCGAGCTCGCCCAGCAAACCGAAAAGCTGAAGTCGAAATCTGCGGAGGCTTGGGTTTCGGGTTTCGGGTTTAGGGTTTAGGGTTTAGAGTTTAGGGTTTAGGGTTTAGACAGCGGGAAATTTGCGCGTCTGTCTTGGAGTTCGGCACACAGCAGCGCTTCAGGTTGATGGCTTGCGCAGCGAGCTTGCGGAGCTTCAGGCTGGCGAAGCGCGCTGCGTGATCGGAGAAGACCTGTGGGTGAAGCGAGGTGTGGGGGGGGGGGGGGGGGGGGGGTGGGGGGGGGGGATCAGTGGGCGTGCAGGCCAAATTCGATGCTGCCCTCCAAGCACAAGCATCCGCGGAGCAGCTGCAGATGGAAGTCGACAGACTGAAGGCCGAAGCGCTGGAGGCCATGACTCTGCCAAGGCACGGCACCAGACAACTACAATCTGGATTCTTGCGGAGGTCTCAGCGCTGAGAACAAAGATCGCAGACATGGAGGCGCGGGCTGGACATGCCATAGTCCCTTGTGCGGGGAAGGATTTCAGTCCGAATAGGGCCCAGTGTTTTGGGTACGCAGACAGGTGTGCAGAGTAGATCAGAGTCCGGTAGCCAAGTGAGCGAAACTTTACTGTAGCAAGCCCCTTGCATTCTTTATTGGACGTTGGTGAATTGAACCCCGCAACCCCGGCCCCAATCAGCGGACGCATTTGTTTTCTCCACGGTTGATGCGGTCAATGAGGGCAGGAGCCACAGGCATCACTGAGAGGGACGTAGTCGTGATTTCCACTTTGCTGCAGCTCGATATTCAGCCTGATTTGAGCTGGTGCCTGGAGCTGGGGGCGGCGATTGAAGAAGGGTAATATTACGTACGGATACCGGTTGTTTGGATTGCCTTCATATGTACCTTCAATCACCTGTTCAAGCAACAATTGTTTTTTTGCCAGTTGCTTGCTACGGGTACTATTAGGCATGGCCTTGCCACCGGCACACCAGCTGACAGGCAGAGCAGGCGGCTGCCTCGCAAGATGCCGGAGCATCTGCAGAACTTCAGCTGCAGCTGGAGATGCTGCAGTCCGAGGCCGCGCAGGCGGGCAGGGGCACTAAACAAACTTCTTCTCTGGCTTGTCGAAGCTGTGAGAGACCCAAGAGCAGCAGGCAACGGTAGCTAAAGCAGAGAGGGTGGTGCTTTACTTTTGCACGTTACGAGCAACGCGGTTTGTGCTATACACTTCCGGTGCTTGCACCACCACACGGCCAAGTGGAGGCATCAGTGCTTTTGGGAGGTCTGCAAGGTGTCCGGGACTTTTGGTGAAACACGCAAATCTACTCTACCGAAGTCCACAGAATTTTTCTGCTGCGGACACTACTATGAGTTCAAGGCCCCACATCCACTGAGCTTCATAGCCCTGCCGGTGATGATCGTGCTACATCGAACTCCCAAGTGTTGCGATGTGAAGCGCCGTGCCCCTGCCTTCAAGAGCCATGGAAGCGGGGGGGAGAACAACCGGAGCGGATGGATTTCATGGTGAGAAAGCTAAAGAATGTGTTTACGGGTCCTGGGAGACTTCCCAGGCCCGTGTGATACTGCACGGTAGGGTGCCTGGATTCGAAGAGAGGCTCTGGTTTTGGACACGGTAAAGAACATAAAGATGGTGACCGTTCTGCGACGTGATCCATCTCCTCGAACAGAGTTTTCAACACCATGGGGTTCTAAAATGACTCCGGAGTAAGGAGGGTGAGATCGGCGCCCCAGGCCGATGCTTCGATCACTTTAGGGCAAAACTGCGCGGGACACTTTGGGATTGGGCACTGCAGGGACACTTTCTAGCTCGGCATATACCGAGAAAGCAGCTCAAACAGGCAACTCAGCGCAAAGCCTGAGGCAGCATCCAGACAGTCCTTTTGCTCTGCAGGTGCCAGAATTGCGTGGCAGACTTGCTGATCTGGAGGCCCGGCGATGAGTAGAACACATAGAATAGACCCCCAAATAGGAGGATTCCGTTATAATAAGGACCCCAATAAGGTACCCCTAATTTCGGAAAGCCTCATATCTTGCAATGTGGCCATAGCACTGAAGGCCAAGCACGAGTCCGCCCTCCAAGTTCAAGCATCTGCCGAGCAGCTACAGCTCGAAGTCGAGAGATTAAAGGCAGAAGCTGCGGAGGCGCTGCTGGTTTAGGGTTTAGGGTTTAGGGTTTAGGCTTTATGCAATGATGCGCGTGAATGCATGAGTTCATGCAGAGGGATGCGTCCAATGTTGTGGGAGGTGCCAGGACTAAAGGCGCAGATCGCAGATGCGGAGGCATGGGCTGCCTGTCGTGGCTCGTTGTTCTTCATGGCAGTTGTCTTTAGGAGCAGAGCTGCAAGGGCATGTCAAACGAGGCACAGCGGACGGCTGCGTTGCAAGATGCCAGCGGAGCTGAAGAGCTGCAGCAACAGGTGGAGAGGTTGCAGTCTGAAGCTGCACAGGCCGGTGGCAGATGTGTCAAGGGAGGATGGCGTTCAGGGTGCGCATGGAATGGCACAGACGCACTGAGCACTGAGTCCGCATCAAGCATTCAAGAATCAAAACCCAATAGTTTGTTGCAGGTGCCTGACTTGCAGAGCAGGCTTGCAGACCTTGAGGCTGATGTGTGATTTTTGAATCCGCTGCATGTTGCCAGGGTGTCTGTCTGTCTCTGTGTGTGTGTGTGTGTGTGTCTCTGCCTGCCTGCGTGCCTGCGTGCGTGCGTGCGTGCGGGCCGGCGTGCGTGCGGGCGGGCGTGCGGGCGTGTGTGACCATCAGGCTGATCAGGCTGCTTTGCGAGAAGCTGCCGGAGTGTCGGCGGAGCTTCAGGAGCAGTTGCAAAGGCTACAGTCTGAGGCTGCGCAGGCGGGCCACAATCAATAACTGAAATCGATCAGCTTGCTTAGTGGTGCAGGTGCCGGAATTGCGAGGCAAGCTTATCGAGCTAGAGGCGCGACGCTTGCTGTGTTGTCGTGGTTCATGGGTGCTCATGGGCATAGTTTTTTAGCCGCACGCAGTCACGGTAACTGGGAAGGCTGCGCAGGAGCGCGCACTCCAAGCACAAGCCTCTACCGAGCAGCTGCAGCTTGAAGTCGAAAGACTGAAGGCCGAAGCAGCCCAGGCGCACAACGGGAGAAGTTTGATTCTGTGATGATGGGTGGTGGTTTTTAGGGAGGCAGGCCTAATGTAGACAATCGTGGACGTGCAAGACCAAGAGCCAGTCGACGCGCGAGGTGCCAGCGTTGAAAGCACAGATCGCAGATGCAGAGGCAAGGAATCAACTTTTTGTTGTTCTACGGTAAAAAAAGATTGCAGCGTGGCCTTTGCATGTGGCGCTTAGATGTTTCTTCATGCCGCTGAGATTTTCAGAGGCGGTGACCACTGATTTCGTGGTTGTTCAGAACGCAAGCGGTGCACAAAGCAAGTCAGTATTTCCTCACAAGTGCAAATTGGAACGAGATGAATTTCATTCCCAAAGGGCCCGCCCCGCCCGCAACGCCCAGACACATGATTCATGATTGCATACGGGGATCCCATGAGCATGGGCTTGCTTTCCACAAAAAGTGCTTGCATCCCCAGAAACGGTGGGTGAGAGTGTGAGACCAGGGAAGACCAGGGTTCCGAATTTGACAGAAGCCTCTTGGAAACAGCGACTTGTTTTTTTTGTTTGTATTGTCGTTTCTGCCGGCCTGGACGAAAGCCCGGCTCCCTGTGCTTCCCTCCGCGCTGGGCCTCCCGGGGATCCCCCTGCTGTGGCCCATTTGTGATCGTCACTGCATGTCGCCGTGTGCGCGAGGCAGCGTGCGACCCTGGCACGGGGAGAGCACCAGAAGGCTCGACTGGCTGGCATGTCAGATGTGACGATGTCCCTTGCAGAGCAGGCAAGCTCCTCCAAAGCGCCCCGTTCCTAATGTGTTGTAAGATGCGGTCCGCCCATCTTGCGCGCAGATGGTGGGGACGGCTGGGGAGACGAGCTGGATTTGGGCAGCTTGACTGAGAGAGCATGCACGGATGATGTGTCTTTCCGATTTCTACACCGATTCTGCAGCGTGAATTTGGTGTATCTTGAAGCTTCTTGCTTGCAACGCCGTTTGGTTCTTTTCGTTGGAGGTGTTGGTGGCCTGGGTGGCGATGCTGGCCTGAGTGGCGTCGCAGCGGCTCACCTCAGACACAGTTGTTCCTGGCAGCTCCGAGCAGCTCGCGGGTTGTGTAGACCAGGTAGATGCAGAAGTCAACTCGTCAGGGCACATCACGTAACCCTCTGCAAAATCCACTGGGTTGGGGCTGCATGCATGCGACTTGCAGATCCGAGCCCCTGCCCAGTTCACTTTTCCCAGGGGTATACGCGAGTGCGCTGAGGCGGCAGCCACGGCGGCGGCAGCGCCTGCAGCGGCAGAAGAGACCAGCGATCAAGGCAAAGCACGGTTGCGAAATTCTGTGAGTCCGTAAAGGTCGAGAGTGCAGTCAAAACAGATCTCTAGAGGGCCTACAGGCGGCAGATGGCGGCAGGCTAGGAAGTTTGAGACCGTAGACCTTGGTGGTACGGTATGACATGGTGCTGCACGGGTAAGGATTGCCAGTGGGATGCCCGGAGCGGCACTGGAATGTTCTGGAATGCCGCGCTGCAATGTTGCGTGGAGGTGGCTGGGACGACTTCGACCTCGAGGATGCATTGTCCAAGGAGGCTGCCTTGGGCTTGGCTTCAAACTAAATTCCAGCGACCCCGTGAGCTTCCCGCGGCGCGTCTGCACGTCTCTTCGGCAGCCCTGCGTGTTCAGACTGCCAGGAGCCCGCCAAGCCCGCGACGAGCATTCAAGTCGACCCGGCAGAAGGCTGCGGCTGCTGGCTGCTCCTTAAGGTGTGCATGTCGGCTTCGCATGAGCATAAATCTGGCCATGATAGGTCAGGGCTGGGACGATTTCGACTTCGAGGAGTCTTTGCCCAAAGCAGCCGACACCGACGCTGACTTGCACTAGTCCGAATGTGCTTGGAGAACTAGACGGTTGAGCGTTTCGGTTGTCGCGGGCCCGCAACTCATCTGAAAATGAACTAGCAGATCACCTTAGTACCACTCTATGTCTGCACAGTAAAACATAGGTAATCATAAGGTATGTGCTTGCCTGTAGCTACACTGTGCCACTAGAAGTTGTTGACGAGCTCAGGAACTGGAGTAGCCGGCTCATCATAAAGCGGACATGGGGGGCTGTTCTAAATTAGGAATCCTCTAGTTCCTCTTTATTCCATTTCAATTTGACCATAGGCCCGACACATAAACCCCACACCATGAACCCTGGATCATTAAGCCTGCCGTACGGTCTTGCCAGCTCTGCAAAAGCGAGAAAAAAACCTAATTTCCCCTCAGGAACCGGGAACTGCTGTGGCTGCAGCAGCAGACCTGGAGCAACTGGAGAGGCTGAGGTCTGAAGCTGCACAGGTGGGCCCCGCGGGAAAGGGAAGGGCAAAGACGCTGTGGAAAAGGACCAGCACGTGTAGATGTGCTTTTGCTGCTACTTTCCGCAAGACAGGACCACCCAAATTCCCGCTGAAACTCTGGGCGCTAAACCCTAAACCCTAAACCCTAAACCCTAAACCCTAAACCCTAAACCCTAAACCCTAAACCCTAAACCTCAGCACCCTTTCAGGTGCCTTTCTTGCAGAGCAGACTTGCCGAGCTTGAGGCTGGAACTGGGGCATTGTTGGAAAAAATCATTTTGCATTTTTGATGAGTACTTGAACCCAAGAGGAAACAAAAGTGATCAGTTTTAATAGTACCCCAACAATCGTGCTGTGTAAAGTGTTGCAAGCGGACATGGCATGTGTTGACCCACGAGCACGGTGGCATGCAGCGTGCAGGCGAAGCACGCGTCGGCCCTCCAAGCGCAGGCGTCGGCTGAAGAGCTGCAGCACGAAGTGCAAAGACTCAGGGCGGAAGCAGATGCGGCGAACAGCAAGGTATCCGCCATGGAGGCAGGGCAGTGCCTGCAGAATTGCCACAACTACCATGTGTGTTTGTATATACCTATACATTACTATACATATTTCACTCCAGGTGGCCAGTGGTCTAGGAGTCACAGTAGCTGCCTTTCAGCATTCACGTTCTTATTTATAACGCATTACTCATGTTAAACATATATATATATATATATTTGATTTAGTCCTTAACATTGGTTGGACAACGGTTTGGCTTTTACTCGATGCTGTATTGCTTGTAAGTACTTGAGTTGCTTATAAGCAGGGAGTCTCTGCCAACCCATGATGCCCCGCCCCCCCTCCCCCACAAGATAAGACAACTCCGATACTGGGGGTTTAGGGTTTAGGGTAGTACCCTTGGGGTTCTATAGAACAAATGACTGGAAGAACCTGTAAGGGCGCCGTTAAACAGCACAGGTGTTGTCGAGGGATACACATTTTAAAGCTTTAAGGGCTTTTTGATCTGTGGTACGCCCCTACTTCCAACATCCCGACAGAATATAAGATTGGCCCCAAACCTAAACCAGAAACGAGTTGAATATGATAGTGGAACAAGGTCCTACCCTAAACCTCAAACGAACGAGGTGAAGGTACATAGTTCGGGACCATCCTGGGCGCAAAATGCGAAGCTGCCGTCGCTCTAGACTCGTGGGTGCCTTTTGCACGTGCTCTTGGATCACTGGCGCACTCCTTCGTGTCCCCAGGGTCTCTCTCTCTGTTTGGGGTCTTGGCTGGCTTAATGCTCCTTCTCATTAGGAAGAAGACCACACAAGAATCGCAGTGGTCAGCTGAAGTCATGCTTGTTCAAGGCGCAGCAGACGGCCGCCTTGCATGATGCTGCCGGAGCATCTGCAGAGCTTCAGCAGCAGCTGGAGACGATCAAATTGGAGAATGCGCAGGCACGACATGGGAATAAGCGCGAACTGAAGAAAGGAGCAACATCTTCGGAGCTCGAAGTTTCGGAGAAACAGAGGGCATCCTACCGCAGTGGATTGATTTTGCAGGTGCCCGAGTTGCGTGGCAAGCTTGCTCAGCTTGAGGCCGGTGTGCCTTGCAGGTTCGTTTCTGATATTATATACTCTATGTACGTATGTATGTATGTATGTATGTATGTATGTATGTATATGTGTATATATATATATACACATATATATATATATGTTTGCTTTGAAGGGTGCTGATCCGGCGGTAGCTGCACGGTCTGGCTATGAAGCGTGGAGGCGGAATACGCTTCCGCCCTCCAAGCGCAAGCGTCCGCTGAGCAGCTGCAGTCCGAAGTCGAAAGACTGAAAACCGAAGCAGCGGAGGCGGCCGCAAATGCACCCAGAGAGCCCAATACCCCCTTAATTAAGGAATATACCGTAAATTATATAAGGATCCTTCATATGGGTTAAGGTATATTCCTTGTTTAAGCCTTACCCCTTAAAGGGGTATTCGGCTTTCTGGGCAGAAGCACAGCTGTGTGGACATGACTAGTTGCTCTCTGCTATTTCAAGCGACTTGGTAGTTGTAGGACGCGGCGATACACCACTTTACTTCTGCCACTCCATCTCTGTCATTCTCTCCAAGATTATTTTCACTGTAACACTGTATGTTTCCCAGCGTCAACGCGCTCCATCGTTTGAATGGGTTGGTTTGCACTGGCTCCACTGCGTTCATTCGCATCATTCATTGACATATGCACTGGCGTTTGGGTGCGAGCTTTGTCGAACCAGCCGAACAAGCCGGTTTTAAGATTCACTCTGAGGGACCGTCTTGTTGTCCTCCAAATATAAGTGAAATCTTAAAGCTTCGTACAGGCTCTTAACCCTTTTGTTCTTAAACTTAGTTGAACGGCCCTTTCCAGACAGCCAGACTGTGGCTCGAAATGTCGTGCTCGAAGGTGCCAACGCTCAAAGCGCAGATAGCAACCGTGGAGGCATGTGCTCAGGTTTTGCTTTGCTGCGTGGTTGTGCAAAGCAAGCCTGTCAAGTGAGCTCATCTTGCCTCTCCTGTTCAGGCGCAGCGCGCGGCCTTACAAGAAGCTGCCGGCACATCCGCTGAACTCCGGCACCAGGTAGAGAAGCTGCAGTCCGAAGCTGACAAGGCACGAGTAAGCCGCAGCGGAATCATCGCCGGGGCAGTAACTGATGTTGAACGCTCGATCGACCTCCGCGCCCCTTTCAGGTGCCTGACTTGCAGAGCAGACTTGCCGAGCTTGAGGCTGGAAGAGGTAAAGTGAGTAGAGGGCTGTAAGTGAACGTGGCACGTGTTGACCCACGAGCACGGTGACGTGCAGCGTGCAGGCGAAACACGAGTCGGCGCTCCAAGCACAGGCGTCGGCTGAACGGCGGCAGCATGAGGCACTTTGCAGCTGTAGCAACACCCACGACGTAAACACGCATGACGTTCACAATGACGGCTTTAGAATGCTGTAGATGTGTAGCGGTGTAGCCGCGTGCGCGCAGCTGATTGACTTCTACATGGCATGAGTCGTCATTGTTTGTGAGGCCAGAGGAAATGACGGGCCTCCTGCCGAAGGAATGCCAGATAAAGGCCGGCGGCATTGCAAACAAGATGCAAAGCATTGTAAGGCGGCGCGCAACTTGTCGCATGACCAAAGGAAGCGACGGCTGGGGGGACGACTTTGATCTCGGTGGCTTGCCCGACAAAGCCGAAACACACCACTCCTTCTTCCGGTGTTCATTCAGACATGTCGAGAAGTCCCTCAGCAGACGTCCAGTGCTCCACCAAGGGGATGGTGGTCCGCCCACTGGCGACGGGGCAGCTTGCCTCAAATATGCTTCTCCGCATCTTGGTGATGCAGCTCGCAGCCTACAGTAGCCCATGCAAGCTGAGCTTCAGATGCAAAAGTCTCGGTCATCAGTAATCTTCTCACTCCTGTACGTCGAATGGATCCGCATCCTTGACTCCAACCTTCTTCCAGTCCGAAAAAACTCCCAACTTGTCTCGAAGCAAACTTGCCCCTATCTGAATCATCAAGACTATCCGGCCACCCCCAGGCCGAAACACATCAGAAACTGAGGCCCCTGTGCCCAGTGCAGTGGCCACTGGCGGAGGCACTTTCAAGCCACACTTCCTGCCCATGATGGATTGCTATTCAGGGTTGATGCTGACCACTGCAAGTTCTGCAATAGCTAGGGGTAGGTTAAGCTACATGATGAGGTTTATGGGCCGCTCCATCGGCTGATTTACAAGCTGACGTGAACCTCAACTCCACGAGCAGCTCTTGGCCTTTCAGGTGAGGGCTGGGATGATTTCGACTTTGACTTGGACAGCTCTGCCCCTGCCAGCACAGCAGCTCGGCAGCCTGTGCACGAACAATGATCCTTTGCAGCACAGAGATGGCAGCCCGCGAGGACGTCAAAGTTGATGCCAACCTTGGCGCACCGCCAGCAGAAGATGAAGGCGCGCCGGGCACCAACGCCGTCGTCACAACAGTTGATCATATGGGGGGTTACGAAAGTAAGGAACCCCGAATATAAGCCCCCCAAATAGTAGGATTTCCTTAGAATCAGGACCCCAAGAAGGTCTCCCTAATGCCATCCTCATGTTCTCCACACTGGTCAGATGGCGGCGACGGCTGGGCTGACGACGGGCTGGATTTGGAGCAGTTGCCAGGTGGCCCCAGCCTGAGCTGCCCATGCGTGTAAGGTTCTTAAGGCAGGAGGTTCATGAGGGGTACATACCCCCCCTTGAACCCCCCCTCTCTTAAGAACCCTATAACATGCGTGTCGATTCACAAGCTGGGCATACTCTGAGGTGATGGCGGCCTGACAATGGGGGTGGCTTGTCTGAAACGGGCCTCTTGTTGAAGAGCTATACCGTAAATGCCAGGCGTCACAAGGCAAACAGCGGACCTACTCGACCTACCCAACTACTCACAAGCAACCTGCCACATCCCTAAGCCCTATATGCCCTAAACTCCTCAGCCCCTGTTGAGGACACTGGTGGCCCGCAAGTCTTCGACATGGCGGTCGATGATGACCTTGCTCAGGACACGCGAGGGGTCGAGACTCTTTGCAAACCCTGAACCCTCAACCCTTCTTATGTTCATGAATGAAGCAGGAGGCTGTGTTGTGTTGGCAGTGAGAAGATCGGTGCACGGTGAGGTTTGCAGGCACCAGAAGCTTTAGCAGCTGCTCGTACGTGCAGCTACCTGCGGTCGTAAGGAGGCTACCGCCAATGGCGACGAGAGAGCTAGCATCGAAGCCTTGCGGGCCACATCCTCAGGGGCTTCAACATGCGGCATTATCACGCGATCCTCATAATATGAGCTCGCCTATTTTTTCCTTACTCTCCCAAGGCTCGAATCACCGAGCTGGAGGGCCAGCTTGTCCATGCTCAGGATGTGACTCGGCGCTTGCTTCAGCTGTTGTTTGTGCCTCCTTTGCAAGGGGGTATACATGCATCACCCATGCTTCGGCATGGCATTTGGAGATTTTGGCGGAGGCGCGAGACGAGCAAGAAAAGTTCGTCCATGCGGCTGAAGAGGCCAGGAAGAAGGCAAGGGCAGATTTGTGAGCCAGGGCGCTGGTTAGCAATTAGTGCTCTGGAACTCTCCGAGAGGCTGAATCACCACGCCGATAGTGATTGCTGTTCTTTCTCAGGCCCTGGCAGAGCAACAGAAGGCTGCCGAAGAAGTGGCGGAAGCAAAGCGCCAGGCATCAGAACTGCCGGAGATATTTGTGTGTGTGTGTGTGTGCGCGCACATCGGTGTCTGTGTCTGCGTCTGTGTCTGCGTCTGTGTCTGCGTTTGTGTCTGTGTCTGTTTGTGCTTGTGCTGGTGCTCGTGCTCGTGCTCGTGCTTGTGCTTGTGCTTGTGTTTGTTTCGGTGTTTGTGATTGTGTTTGTGCTGGTGTGTGGGTGGGTGTGTCTGTGTGTGTGCGTACCCGGTTCCTGGGCTCGCACCGCGCTGCTAACCTCTTTCGTCAGAGCGACCATTCCCATCCGACATGTACACAGGCAACACGCATGCACAACAGGGTCTTGCAGTGACCTTGTTGCACTTTTCCTGAATTTTTCCACAAGAAAGGAAGCACAAACTCCTTTGACTTAGTGACCTGAGCACAGACCTTTCTGGAGTCCTGGCATCATCTGGGAGACTCAGCCCCATACCCCTTAATCAAGGAATATACCTTGAATCTCGTTCAGGGTCCCTGTATTAATGTAAGGTATATACCTTGTATCAATTTAAGCATCCTTTCTTTAATGTAAGGTATATACCTTGAATCATATGAAGGATACCTGTATTAACGTAAGGTAGAATGGGCTCATCCGGGGAGTCGAGTCGTGGCAGTCGTGGCAGGCCCGTGAGGAGCAGGACAAGGCCTTGCGAGAGGCCGAGGAGGCAAAAAAGAAGGCCAGGTCAATTGCTTGGGTTTAGGGTTTAGGGTTTGGGGTTTAGGGTTTAGGGTTTAGGGTTTAGGGTACATTGGGATGTTCCCCCTTATGCTACCAGCTCCTTAATAGGGATGATAATATAGGGGTTACTTTCATCCCTATTAAGGATTATTAGCATAAGGGGGAACATCCCAATGAACTGCCAAAAATGAAAGAAAAAATAGCCTCTGTGCCATCACTGCAGCCCTATAATGCCCTAGGACCATCAGAGGTCCCCCTTCTGCCGGAAAGCCTCAAAATACCCTGATTCCTAAACCCTAAACCCTAAACCCTAAACCCTAAACCCTAAACCCTAAACCCTAAACCCTAAACCCTGTCAGCCAGGCCCTTGCAGAGCAGCAGAGAGCTGCTGAAGAAGCCGAAGCCGCGAAGCTCGAGGCTTGAAACCGTCACTTGAAGTTGGTGCAGAGGAGCTTAGGGTTTAGGGTTTAGGGTTTAGGAAGCTTAGGGCCCAACAGGGGTTGAGTGTTAGTGTTTAGTGTCTTGGGTTTCTGCCCTGAAAAACGGAGTGATGCCTCGCCGCCTGGGCAACGTTTGGTTCTTGACATCTTTCAAGATTCTCGCCCAAGATCAGGGAAGACGCCACCCTAGCACTTTACATGTTACGGAGCAACATGTACAATCTGGTTCCAAGCAGGCCCGTGAAGCCCAAGAAAAGTTCATGCGCGAGGTGGAAGAGGCTAGGAAAGAGGCCGGGCTTAGCAGTTTTGGCTTGTGGAAGTGGCATGTCAGAAGCCAGTCCAGGTTTGCAAAAGGCCTATGGTTTTAGCATGTTCAAGGTGTCCTGCCCTTAGAATGGGTGTTCAGGTTACTTAATCGGGGTTTTGAATCGATTCATGGTCCGGGCGGATCTCATAGAGCCTCCCTTCAAAAAAGGGGAGAACAAGAAGAACTCAAGAGCTACATGCTTTCAGGCCCAGGCAGAACGGCAAGCTGCTGAAGAAGCGGAAAATGCAAAGTTGGAGGCTTCCGGGTTGGTTTAGGGTTGATAGGGTTTAGGGTTTAGGGTTGCCTAACAGCTGCCGCTAGAGATCCAAGTCGAATCAGTTTTTGCGGGCTCAGGCTGCACGCCTCAGGGAGTTGAATGAGCGCGTCTGCACATTGCAGGACGGGATTTGCCGCTACTGGTGTGAAGTTTTCTTGGCTTCGCTCGTGCTTTGAGCCTTTGTCTTTGCCAGAATGAGTGTGGTTGTCCGCACTGCGTCTGTTTGTTTCTAGTTGTTGTTACCTGGCGCTCAACTGAAAATTTCAGTTGTTGACAATGAGGTTGTCTGCTTCTTTGTTTGGCTTCTGGCTTTCCTTTGCGCATCGTCCCGCTCCTTGGTCACTGCCGGAACTGTGTCCGGAATCGTGCTGCAGTGATCGTGGAAAGTGATGACGTGATACTTCATCGAGACACTCGGCTCGAGAGTCGTGGTTAAGAATTCTTTCTCACCGATCCCACCGGTGAATATCGTGTCTTTCAACCTTCTCCACTGTGTGTTGCCATAGGTCGCTGGTCAGTCATCATTCTTGATCCATTGCCTTCGAAACGAATAAGGAAGCTGGCTGAGAGTGGGGGTCGTTTATGCGAGAGTAGATATAAAGGAATTAGAAGTGGTGCATTTCGGTGAAACACTCCCTGCGGTCCTGTAGTCGCGGTGTTAGGAAGCCTTTTTGTGCGGGGCATGCGGATTCCATGGGCATCTACTTTATTAAATCTGTGTGCCAATTTGGCTCAGCAATCGTCTCAGCCTGGAGATTTCTAAACCACCTGAACCAGCTGGACTCCTCTGTTTCTTCTCCCTTTTCAGACTAGAGCATGATCGTTAGCTTACGATCGCAGTTCTGCGGGAGTATGGCCCATCATGCATTGGGACACACCCGGAGATCGGTGCATTACGAGCCACCGATTTTGGTCTAACAGACTCTCGAATGAAGGGACCTTTCACTGCCACCGATGCGGAAGCAGGGAGCGAGGAAATAAGCGAGCGCTTCGATAATTGCCTCTTTAACAAGTTATCTGTGTTGACTTAGCTGACAATGTTCCCAGGCAGCAGGCCATTCCATGCAGCCGCAACAATGACGGGCTTCGGCTTCTTTGCAAGGTTCAGAAAGTTGCATTTGAGGGGAAGGGTACTCAGCGCGTGTCAGATCGCTTCGTGAAAGGCGCATTTGTTTCTACATTTCGTTTCTGTGGCATCCCGATGAGAATGTGAGGAGCAACTCTCAAGTGCCGAAGCCAGCAGGCGCCCAGCATTTCGAGACATGGCTTCTCCCTGAAGACAGCAGCAAAGCCTCATCTGACCTCTCATGTCAGTGGCATGTCCCTAAACCCTAAACCCTAAACCCTAAAACCTAAACAGTTCCTTGTCCCAAAACACCCAAAGCACCCTGAGCCCCTGCAAGTGGTGGCGCCTTGTCCCTACGCTTCTGGGCCA